TCATAGCCATACCCATCATACCCATATAATCTACTATACCCATATGGAAAGATCGGGCCAACAATGATGTCACCATAGACACCACCATACTCATTCGAAACCTTTCCATTGGCACCATATCCGTCACTATATGCTTGTTCAGCACCATACCCATATGTACCCTCATTATTATATACCCCACCAATACCATAACCACCATTATAGCCAAGTCCGCCACCATACCCATGTCCGCTACCATATCCATACCCATCAACGTACCCATTCCCATAGAGGCTACCGTACCCATTGGGGCTACCATGCCCATACAGTCTACCACCGTAGATACCCACAATACCGTGTCTGGATTCAGCAACATCTTGGTCTTTGATATTATTTTCATGTTCATTATCATGGTCATCTACTTTGCGTTTACTGAGCAAACTAGCATGTTCATTACCACTATTATCATGTTCATTATCATCATTATTTTCACTGTCTTGTTCACTCCCACTGTCGTTGCCATGGATTTTGTTATCTAAACTAGCATGTTCATCTCCACTCCTGTTCTCAAGTTCACTATCATCATTATATCCAATGCTTTGTTCAGTATCACGGTCAATAATCTGGCTTTTACTATGTAAATTAGCAATGCCTTCTTCACTGCCATTATCGCGTCCGAAGTCACTATCATGTCCATCTTCACTATAATGTCTCCCTTCATCACCGTGACCAGTATCAGGTAGAGGGTTGAGGCCACTACCATGGCCCTCCTTATCGCCACTGCTAGACTCAGGTATAGGACCAATTTCAGGTATAGGACCAATTTCAGGTATAGGACCAATTTCAGGTACAGGGTGGCTGAAGATTGAGGCTACTAGAAAAATAATCGCCAAAACGACTGAAGTCTGAAAAAAAAACAAAAATAGAAAAGACAGTTATCAGCCTTGATTTAGTTAAATAATGACATTGTTCATGAGCCAAATATTACGTACCAAATACTAGTATAATGACAAACTCTTGATTTTTATAATGCTCACAGTACTAATAACGATAATACTTGTACCTGAACGGGAACGTTAGCATGGTTCTAAGAAAAGACTGTAAGTCTTTATATCCCTCAAAGATGTCCACGAATATAGTAAACAAATGTAATATAACCCTGTTAAATTTTTTTATGAAAATGAGCTAAAAATTTTGCTAGCTTAAATACAAAACATTGCATTTATAAACTATTAATATTGTTATCGTGTTTAAATTTCTTATCACTGCATAACTATATTTTAACTTATGTATATTATTGTAGCTGTTTCACCAACGACATTTAAGAGAAAGGAATTATTCCTAAAAAATATTATAAATTTCTTAAATATTGTTATATTTAAGAAGCAATATAGTGTATATTTAAGTGTATTTCTTAAATATTGCTTCAACTAATTATTAAGTGTGCTTGGTTTCGTGTTGAACTAATGGCGTTTCAACTTCAGGAAGGTTATTAAGCCCACCTTAATTGTGTACTGACCAACCAGCAAGAATTATAAATCCCGAACACAAATCCAAAATTAAACTATCGGTATACATACACCGAGAAGCAGGATACACCTCTCGGTGTATACATATTCATAAACGATAAGTAATGTTGTTGTAGATTCAGCTACTCAGAACAAAAGTTTCAAGTAACACGGGCTATGGTGAGCCCGCTGTGAACCTAATTTTAATTACTAGAAGTCCAAATCAAGGACAGACTTGTTTACTAACACTGGACTGCTGCATTGTTGGTATCTTTGCTCCTGGGTAAGAATGGGAGAGGGATGGGGCGTTAATATTAACAGGAATAGGCTGCTCACAGCCCTGAACTGTAGGGAAGGATCGTGTATTGAACCCCTGGGCCTGTGGCAGCTCCCGTCAGCTTGGTAGATGGGCAGATGATGGAGCACTGAGCTGGCAGCTGAAGCCTCACACTCGTATATATATATATAGTTTCATATATGTGTTGCCATCAACTGTATCGCCGCTGTAATGCTCTCACGGGGATTTTCACATGCTCTTTCTAATGTTATTGGTAATTAGTGAACGTGCCTCGAAAACACACACACACACACACACACACACACACACACACACACACACACACACACACACACACACACACGCACACGGACACACACATATATATGGCTCCTGACGGCTGAGTGTACAGCGCTTGGGATTCGTAATCCTAGAATCCGGGGATCGATCCCCGGCGGAGGCGGAAACAAATGGGCAGAGAGTTTCTTTCATCCTGGTGCTCCTGTTCACCCAGCAGTAAATAGGTACCAGGGAGTTAGAGAGCTGCTACGGGCTTCTTCCTGTGTGTGTGTGTGGAAGAAAAAATCAGTTGATTGATTGACAGTTGAGAGGTGGGCCCAAAGAGCCAGAGCTCAACCCCCACAAGCTCAACTAGGGGAGTATATACACACACACACACGCGCACGAAGTATGGGGGGCCTCGCGGCTGAGTGGACAGTGATCGGGGGTAATGGTCCTAAAGACTCGGGTTCGATTCCCTGCCGAGGCGGAAACAAATGGGCAGTTTCTTTCACCCTGATAAACCTGTTCATCTAGCAGTAAACAGGTACCTGGGAGTTAGACAGCTGCTATGGGCTGCTTCCTGGGATGTGTTTTGTGTGTGTGTGTGTGTGTGATCTTCTTGAGGTTATCTTGAGATGATTTCGGAGCTTTTAGTGTCCCCGCGGCCCGGTCCTCGACCAGGCCTCTACCCCCAGGAAGCAGCCCGTGACAGCTGACTAACACCCAGGTACCTATTTTACTGCTAGGTAACAGGGGCATAGGGTGAAAGAAACTCTGCTCATTGTTTCTCGCCGGCGCCTGGGATCGAACCCAGGACCACAGGATCACAAGTCCAGCGTGCTGTCCGCTCGGCCGACCGGTGATAGAAATATATGTAGTAGATATTATAGAGGAAAAATAGATTGGTTAGAAAGGCGGGGTCCAAAAGCTAATAGCTCAATTCAGCAGACACAAATAGTAAATACAAATAACAAATACACACACGCACTAAAGATTTACAAATTTTTATAAATAAAGTATCAATAACACTTCGTTCAATAACTAATTTACACTCTACAATTTTCCGTGAATTAGTCCAGTCAATTAAATGATTACAATCAATTACGTGAACATACAATGCATTTGACTCTTGACCTGTCCTTATACTATATATGTGTTCTTTTATTCTCTTATCAAGATGTTTACCTGTTTGGCCAACATAGAACTTACTTCAATCTTTATATGGCATTTTATACACATATCCATTGGAACTACCTGGGGAAATTATAATTAGTGTTTTATTATGACACTAAGATTAAGAAATGCTACGTGGATATTAAATCGATTTAGTAATGTAGGAATTTCATTTAAATTGCCCTGAAATGACACAGTTATTGAATTCTTCTTTATTTTTCAAACTAAAGAAACGGTTATGAGCAATTTAGCAGGTATATATATATATATATATATATATATATATATATATATATATATATATATATATATATATATATATATATATATATATATATATATATATATATATATTGTCAGAAGTATTAAAAGAAATGTGATAGGTGTCGACATGGGAATCTGTGGGTTAGACGTTGTTGTTCACGGAAGCGACTGAGTCTCCTTGAGTGTCGACACTGGAGTGGGGGGGGAGGGAAGGAACTGTGGAACTTTAGTTTAAAAACTGCAAGAAAATTTATACAATTATTAATAACACATTAATACGTCCAGTGTAGAACTGGGCAAGATTTACTAATAGATTATAGCCAACAGACTTTCCCTTAATTTGATGGAAACTTACTGCATGATGCTGCACAAACTTGCGAGCAACTAATCAGTTAATGGGACAGTAATAACTAAAGTATCCGAGTTATACGTCACATATAATAACACCGTGCAAACAAAAATATCCAGTATGTGAACGGATCTTTGCAAAATTTGATACATTTTTAGAAGGTAATATATTGCTGACTCATTTTCATATTCAATGCTATAGCCTCTTATATTTCTCGACACATATAATTCCAGCCTAAGAAAACTGGAGCTGACTTGCTAGCATAGCAAGCACTCTTGTTAGCATAGCAAGCTTGCATAGCACTCTTGCTAGCATAGAGTGCTAGCAAGCACTCTATGCTTGCTAGTCAACAGCAACTGCTTCACTTCCCTCACATCATTCAATTCTCAGTTTCAGTCATCGCATAAAAATACCAATAAATGCCAACATAACCAAAACACCTAGTGAAACGTATTCTAGGCATAACTATACTAAAAATTATAATACACATTAATTTATATTCGAGAAAATGTAGTGTTTGCTTACGCAGAAAGTTAAAAATAACAAGTACATCTTTGGAATCTACAGCAGCTTGGACAAATATAACCTGAGGATAACTTGCAAATATTAACTTCGTAAATTATAACTAGAATAATATTTGATTTCTAATCTAATTGACCGTGAATATTCACTTGTAGTCTCCAACGTAAACACTCCCTAAATCAAAATTACTTTACTCAAGCTAATCGATGCATAAATTTATAATACATATATTTTAGTGAACACGTTCTTTAATCGTATGACGGATTTATCTAGTCAGTTTTATGCCAAATTAATAGTTAGATATTGGCATTGTTTTTATCGCATGACATGGCTATATGACAAACATTAAGTCTTCGACGAAGTGTGCCATAATGATTTGGAGTTAGGTACATGGCCTATCGATCTCTGAAAGGTTAGTAAGATAAAGAATGTTATTAACTAAAGGAATAATGAACAAATTCATTCGAAACCTTACAGTATAAACACCAGATCATATAACTTTCACTACCATCCAGATAATACGATAGATATACTAGACTAAAACTTATATCATGTTTCGAAACTCCTCGTATAATATTTTAGTTGCATAAACTACGATAAGGTCTTGAGTCTTAGGAAAAACAAAACAATTCAATAAAAGACTAGATGCGAAAATAAAACTGTATTTAGGATTTGTTTAAATTTGTCGAGTTTTCACAGTTCACCGTCAACCTGCAGGGTACAGATGACAGGAAATAATTAAATTACAAATAAATCTACAGCCAATAATACAAATAATAGTAATAATAATAATAAAGCCCAACGGCTAATAACATAAACTTACAAGTATATCTACTGATGAAAGTAACTTTACAGACAAGTAGAGAACAGTACAACTGTAGTTTGCAACAAAATAATTAACATTGATATGTAAAAGTAATTTTAATAATAATAATAACTGTAATGATCAAACCAGTAATTAAAATATTCCAAATCAGTTTCTCACTAAGTGAAACTCTGTTTTTTATTGTTATAAAAGGCCATAGGTGATAATTTTTCGTGTATAACTTTACTTCATGTGAAAATCTTTCCTTAAAATATGATCTAAAAGATTCAGTGAGCGGAGCGGAGACGTCCGAGTGCCCGCGACGAACATGGGTTTCGCAGTACTACAGATATTAACAGGATACGGAGGGAGAGGTAGAAATAGCCTAAGCTACTCTATCCCTCTGAGAAGTATTTCTTTCTTGTCTCAATAAACATACTTGAACTTGAAAACAGGATTCGCACTCTTTAGCCACGATGTCCGTAGCCACCTCGACCACCACCACCTCGACGACCACCGCCACGATGACCGCCACGAGAGCGCGATGGTTCTGCATCAGGATGGGCGAGGGTGGTGGTAGCGGCCATCAAACACGCCATAATTACCATAATCAGGATCTGGAGAGTAGAAAATTTAAAGTGACGTTATTGACACTGCTACCTCTGTTGCACCTGCTCAACCGCAGTGATGCTCTTAGTTACCAAGACTTTACAATTCTTAATTATCATAAACGCAAAAGACATGATCAGAAATGATATCAGAGCTTCAGTGTTAGGCTGTTTTGTCAGTAACATAGTAGATCGGGCTCTAAGCTTTCCAGAGGATGATAGACCCATTGCACCAACACATCTGTGAATTTTGGTGCACCAAGCACCAAGCTTACTGTAAATTTGAAGTAAAATTAGGAGCCTCAAGCGGGAAAGTTTCTAGAACTTGTTTCTATGATAAATTAACTATTTCCTCTGGTTAAGGAGAAGAATGCTGGACACTTATTGAAATTGAGGTTTTCATTAAACTTGTTATAGTTTTTCATTGCCTACTTGAAGGCAATGATGTCACTAGAAGTCTCTGGTGACATTTTTGTATTATGCCTCTGTATATTACATAAGTAAAATATGGACAGTTATTGTCAGGATTTTTCAAAGACTAGATTTGGAGTTACTTACCGAGAAAAACCTCATGGTGAAGGATTGATGTTACTAGTGCTGGCGAAGAGCCTGTTTATATTGCTTGAAGCAGAATTTAGCTGATTGTGCTCCTGAGCATCAACGACTGGTTATATATATACTCCTAATGCCGCTTTCGTAAGGTACACAGAGGCCATTGTGATATTGCACAATGAGAGTGGGTCATTAGTCACTAATATCACGACAGGAGTGGCTGCACTGATACGCTCACTCACCTCCAAGGACTTAATATCTCATGTAGTTACTACATGAGAGATATTACTAGTTACTTATACTAGCTACTCATACTAGCTACTTTTGTAACCAGTTACTCAAGTAATTACTAAAGTAACTACACTGTTACATATACAGAAGACGAGTATACGTAAGTGTTTATCATACAAATAATTAGTCACAAGATGGGGGGGAGGGGGGTTGTAAAGATTGGATGTTTACATATTATATATGTAATAATGGCGTATATATGTATGTGTGAGTGAAAAGAGCATTTACCCCATTTCCTGATGTTTCTCATCAATATATTTTAATATTTGTAAGGTAATGACACTCACCCTGGAGGCAGCAGCGACACCCCTCTCTCTCTCTCTCTCTCCCGCTGGTTTACATCATAACCCAACTATTTTAACTACCTTGTGGTCGCCATGATGTAAGGTAAAGGTGCTCGTCATCTGCCATCTGCTGTATTATTATTGTTATTATTATGTCACTTGGGATATATATATATATATATATATATATATATATATATATATATATATATATATCTGGTTTAGGGCTTCTATCCCTCTAACTGTTTTCTTAGCATCAGGGCTTAGCTGAAAGCTTAGCTTAGCTTTTCAGCTAAGCCCTGATGCTAAGAAAACAGTTAGAGGGATAGAAGCCCTAAACCAGAAAATAATAAATACAGAATATGCGGTCATATTCAATGAAACATGTTTGAAAGGAAACCTGCTGCCAGTATACACCAATATATATATATATATATATATATATATATATATATATATATATATATATATATATATATATATATATATATATATATTTATGATACTATACTACCTCTGGCACAAGTGTAGGAACCCATAGCCTCGGAGAAGAAAATAAAGAGTATTCAGAGAAGACCTTGTGGATTCTCACTGAACACTTTAATATTTATTAGTAGTGGAAATGGCCCCAAATCGCAGCAGTTTTGTTTTTAACAGCTGCAGTGATATGGCGCAGAGGTGTTTTCAATTTTTTGCAACTGCTGCCTCTAGCCCAGGGTATGTTTTTAAATTTTTATTGGTCAGTACCTCGTAGTCTCCTAATATTTTCATTCATTTATCATCTGCTCCCTTCCATCATATATAATTTTTCATAAAGGGGGATTAAACAGTTCCTTTCCAGCCTCTATTTTTTTGCTCAAGGGGATTAAACTATTAGTTACAATTTGGCACTGCGTCAAAAGCTTTGCTAAAGTTAAGGTACACAACATCACAAACCTTACCACTATCAACTGCCTCAACTATGCTGGAATAAAATGATAGCAAATTTATTAAACATAAAAGACCATTAGTAAAACAATGTTGTGAATCATTTATTGATTTATGTTTTTCAAGATGAAGACGAATGGTATTTGCAATTATCGATTCAAGTAACTTTCCCACAATAGATGTTAAACTAATTGGCCGATAGTTTGAGGCACGTGATCTATCTCCTTTCTTGAAAATTGGTACCACATTAGCAAACTTTCACGACTCTGGCACTCTACCTGACTCTAGTGTCAGGTAGAGTGCTAGTGTCAGACACTCTACCTAACTCTAGTGTCTGACTCTACATGACTACCCCTACCCGAATACATCTTTAAACTACCTGACGGCACTTTTGTAGCCAATGTATGCAGTTGGTTACAGAGACCCAATAGTGTACATGTACACCAGAAGCAGTACTCTTTACGCATCAAACAGTCAACAATGCTTCCAATTAACAAAATGAAGCAATAACAGAGAAATTACGCTGTGAACAACCTCGATTTTGTAGTGTACTAATACTAAATATTTGTATTTGTGGTTTCTGTATTTTGGTAGTTATGGTCTGTGAGCAGGAGGTCTTTCTGGTCTATGAGCGTGTAATAGTTGTTTTGCGTGTATGCGAGCGCTCGTGTGTGTAAATATGATTGCAATGTGAGATCGCTAGTATTTGTAAATATGAGAGCGCTTAAAGGTCTCGATGAATTTATCGTTTGTGATGGAAATTAAACCTTTGTTTTACCCAACAATTAGAAAATGTGAAGTGATATGTATACCACTGTACGGGAGGGGGGGGGGGGGAACCGTTGTTTGCTGAGGGGAAGCAAACATGCGAGTCATAAATACTCATACACCACCTTAGTTAAAGAGAAACGAGTAACACTTGTGGCCCACTAAGCCTCTGCACAGGTATATATACAAAAAGTTTACTGAGGGGCCAACAGAATTTGTCTTAATTCCTCTGAGTTGCAATTGTATCCACAATGGTTATTGTATTCCCTGAGGCTATTATATTCCCAGTGGCTATTATATTCCTAAGCAGCTGTTGTATTTCCTAGCAGCTGTTGTAATCCCAAGTGGCTATTGTATTTTTCATAAGCTTTTATATTTCTCATTGTGAATTATATTTTCAGTAGCTATATTCCTATTACTGTGCCTATTATATTTGATTCACACATTTTAAGTGAGTTTTGTGCCCTAAACATTACCCAACCAAAGGCCTCAATATTTTACTTAGTTCCTTCGACATTACTCTTTGTATTACACACTTCCTCTAACTCAAGGTGTGCCCTGACGCAACCTGTCCTGCCAGCTAATATGTTGCATTTTTTACGGAGAGGAATAATCCGTTAAAAATGTCATGTAATAGTAAAGGTAAAAGCACCGCAATACTGACGCTTTCAATGCATCGGCCTGGATAGGTAAGGTGGGTTGCTGGGGTTCGTAAGTTTCTGATTAGGCAAAACAGGTATAATCCATTCGGAGTGGCAAATCATTAAAACGGGCTGCTGATGCAGCCTGGACTCGGACTATTCCAGGATTCTTAAAATTATTAGAGGATAGGAAAACCTCTAGGTACTTAAACTCTAAGGGGAATAACAGACATTTTGGGGAACCTGCTAGTGAAACAATGATATATTTATATATTTATTAAAAAGGTATGTAAAGATGATGTCAAAGTTGTGACATCCGTCACAGTGTACCGCTGAAGAGGAAGACACTGTCTAATATCCATCCTTACCGTTCCTGGTATAAACATCAGCATGTGTAGGGCAGATGACTCGCAGTATCCCAACAACATATGTCTTCACAAAGTAGTTTTCATTTAAATAAAAAAGGACTTGAAGTGGACAACCCAACTGCTCCAGCCTGGCCTCAGCGGCCATATCCGAACCCATATCTGCGATATCCAAAGCCACCATATCCACCATAACCACCATATCCGCCATAACCACCATATCCACCGTAGCCAAGATATCCTGGGTGACCTACCGGGGCTGCCGCGGGACCGGCCAGGGCCGCCACCAGGACAGCGGCCACCACCAACACCATCATCATCACCTGCAACACAAAACATTCTTCATAATTAATGCCCTCAATAATTATCATTCATTATTGATACTTCATATTATATTATATTGTGCTCGAATGTTACCTTTCTTGAGTTTAAAATTTTAACATCATTCATTTGTTCTTTATAATGCAGCACTAATACCAGCTGGTCAAAACATTACATCACAACAGCTGGTGTAAAAAGTGCATTAGCTGATCCTAACAACGCTTCAGCCCATCTCAACATTTCAGAACTAGGTGGTTGATAGGCCTCTCAACAGGAGCGTCTGTCACTCACAGCTCTGGAGACCATCTTGGGGACCTGAAGGTGTTCACTTGTCAGGGAGTCACAGTCCACAATGTCCACCACTCGTCGCCTCCACCTTATATACCGCCACCAACCTGAAGTCCACTGGTGAACTTCAGCCATCTGTTTCTTGCCTAAATATATCATGACCTGATTTGTACATCCCAACCCTTCTCGCTTCAATTCGAATTTACGTATGTTTTATGTGTTATAACAAACAAAATACGTGTTATAAATAGGTCCTAATTGACAAATAAACTTTTTTTGCAATCAAAATCAAAACTAAGATTTTGAAGTTAGCCTCCCCCCCCCCACAAATAAAAATATTTTGTTAAATTTTTACTAGTATTCTGTTGGTGTAAGAATCCGTTAATCTGCAAGTTTGTTGGTCTATGTGTCATCTGATCTTTTAACTTGTGAGCGGCTTTGTAAATTATGGTCAGATTGTCAACAATAGCTGGTCAACAACAGGGAACGTCTGTCATACACTAGACGTGAGTTGGTCAGTAATGTGTGGTTGATGGGTGAGGGTCACCAGTAGACTTGAGGTTGGTGGAGGTATATAAGGTGGAGGCGACTGGTCGTGGACATTGTTGACTGTGACTCCCTGACAAGTGAACACCTTCAGGTCCCCAAGATGGTCTCCAGAGCTGTGAGTGACAAAACCTCTCCAGTTTAGAAGACTAGTCATCACCTAAGTCTAATATGTTGAGACCACCTGGTGATGATGATGCTTTATTTAGATAACTTGGTGTTGATGTTATCTTTAGATCAACGACGCTTAGGCTTATTTAGACCAGATGATACTGATGTGTTGAAATTTCCTTGTAAACAAACTGCTAAAACCTGATGTTAATTACATTTTTTATGAATATAATTTAACCCTTAGACTTCAGGTCACGTCTATTGATGTATTAGGGTCAACAGGTTCAATCAGCAGTTTACGTTACTTGACGTCTATAAATACGGTGTATTTTCAATTCTGTGTATGACTTACGAGGGGATGATATACAAAGATATCAACATAACGCAATGCAAAGCAATATCATATATCAAAACCGAATGAAAATGGCTGAGGCCATTAATTATGAAGAATGTTTCGTGTTGCAGGTGATGATGATGGTGTTGGTGGTGGCCGCTGTCCTGGTGGCGGCCCTGGCCGGTCCCGCGGCAGCCCCAGTAGGTCACCCGGGATATCTTGGCTACGGTGGATATGGTGGCTATGGTGGTTATGGTGGCTTCGGACGTGGATTTGGTGGATATGGTGGCTATGGACGTGGATATGGCTTTGGATACAGATATGGGCGATGAGGCAAGTTGTTTGACGTGAGTTTTCTCAGAATTATTAAATACCTCTTGAATAATTATATTTAATTGAAAACGCTTTTCCTATGAATATTAGTGGTCATATATTTAAAGTCATCTATAAATATGTGATAATATTCTTACAGTTTCCAAAATGGATTGATATTAAAAAGCCTGTTCTTTTTCCCTCAGACTTGCAGTGATGAATGTGGGAAGTTCTTCATTATCTTCACATTCATTTTCATAAATGAATAATATAGTTTAGTTTGACTAGAAGTTACCCAAATACATCTGTTTCCTGAAGACTTGAGTTTTCCTAACTCTGTCCATCCGATTTTATACTACTGTTGTGAGGTCTGATATAATTCAGTTTCTTGCTTTGTCAAGAAGCTTCTGAGTAAGCCAGTTATGACAGTATGATATCATGTCTGCTGCCTATAGTGCAAGTGGTTAGGCATCATTCCTGCACCTTATTCTAATATGCTAGCTCCTTGTCCTCACATCCCAGCTTCTTGTCCTCGTATCGTACATTCTTGTCCTCATGTCCCAGTTGCTTGTCCTCATATCCCAGCTGCTTGTCCTCATAACCCTTACACGTGTTAGATAGTCATACTGGCTTAGCACTTTCTCCTCATAATTACTTTACGCTGCTATCACTGCAAAATAATTTACAATTGTGTATAAATTTGAACATGCATTTGTAATAAAGCTATTATTCCTTTTTTAAGTTTTTATTATAATTATTCACTCTCCCTTTTAATAAGTTTAATGAAAAGAGATCCATCGGTCATAAAGAACACAGAACTAATAATAAATGATAAAATATATGTAAAAACACCCTGCATCATTAGGTTGTAGGAACACCAAGAGCACATTAAGTTTACATGTTGTATTGCCACTTGAAACCCTCTTGACTACAAGCGCTATCATCAGTTATCTTCACTAGGCCTAGATGGTGTATCATCACATAGAACCATCACTATCAAACTCCAATAAGACACTGATGGAAACACCACAAAATTTCATACATCTAGACCTATGGTATCTTCTGTGAGACGCCATCTCCAAAACTTCAAATATTTAGTCTCTTGACAAACTGATTCCTTCTGGGCTTATTGTCGACCGCTTCACTCGCGATGTTCACACATAGTCCCTATTTCCTCACCCTCTCGCCATGCCTCTCCATCTTCTTGGTCTTTCTCTCATATTCTCTCAAGTAATCATACTTTGCTACTCGACAATCATCCGGTCACTTTACTCGATAATCATCCAGTCACTCTACTCGATAATCATCCAGTCACTCTACTCGATAATCACCCAGTCACTCTACTCGATAATCACCCAGTCACTCTACTCGATAATCGTCAGTCACTCAATTTGACCAAACCATCTCAATAAACTCTCCTCAACCCTGCAACATAACATGTGTCTGATTAATGAACAATTAGTAGAACTTGGTACTATTCACTTTGTAGTCTGAAAAAATTAAGCTAAAACCAAACTTAAATATTATGTAAATATATAGCATATATATATATATATATACATAAATGATAAATTATATGTATATATAACTTATAATATGTATATTAATTTATACATATATATAATATATAATATATAATATATATTAAATTTATGTATATATAATTTATAATTTTATAAATTATATGTATATATAATTTATAATATAATTTATATAATATGTACTATAGCCTCAGAAAGCATGTATTAGGCCTAGGGTAATTTAATTAGGTTAGGTTAGGTTACGTTATGTTAGGTTTGCCATAAACACTAAATTTTTCCGGTTTGTTCAAATTCAGTAGAAGCAATTTCTGTTCTAATTGGCCATTGCGTCAATATATGTACGATGGTCCTCATGGTTACTCTAAGTACTATGTAAGCAGTAGGAATCGCTGCATTAACAGATATAATGTATAGCCAACAGTATGAGCAGGTGTTGGGCGTATGTTTTGTTGTATGGTGTTTGTGTCGAGGCATCACGTGATCACATACTCAACATGTGTGGAGTGGTGAGGAAGAGTTGATGAGCCAAGTAGTTATGTAGAGTTGCACTAGTGATCAGAGAAGAGAAGTGCTTACGGCAACCTTCAGTTTGTACGTGGATCCTGAGATACACTATAGTGGTAACTCCAGTCTGGAGGTGTGAAGTACAGGCTAGAGCAACTTAGCTCTAGCTGGTAGAACTAGTTGGCCCTAGCTGAAAGGCTAGAGCTACGGGGCTATCGTAGTTTCCTAGGATTTTGTCATAATTGTTTTTGAAGTGTGGATTATGTCTGCCTTGAACACCACCTCATCATGTCCATTCAAAATATTATCAACTCACACATAGTGAATATAAGTCACCTGATAGTACTTGATTTATCTGTGTTTTTATTTTCCATCTATGGTCTCGTGTTCAGGGTTTCGTTACATGGATCAGACACTTTTTGGTCTCCTTTATCTAACCTTCTTAGTATCTTATGTCCAAATTATATCACTTATAGTTCTTCATATTATTTGTAGTTTCAGCTCATTTTGCAAGTCTTCACAGGTTAGATGTCGACATTCAGGAACAATCTCATTGCAAATATTTAAGTTTTCTTTGTTGAACAAGCTGAAGGATCTATAACGGTGATGCATAATACAATATTAGTCTTACATTTGGTTGTAAAAATCGTTTTGAATTATTTCTTATGAAGGTTACTAAAAGTTTTTTCTCATATTCGAAACTTCGGATATATTGTTGATGTTATTTTGTTTATGAATTTTTTCGTGGTGAACTTTTTCTGCTCATATGGTGGTGTTTTGTGTGTTTTGAATTATAATAAAGCATGTGCTGACATTGTGTATTCAAGGAGGATAATAGTGGTAGTGTTGTGTTGAAAGATAGCTTGGTTGTTTTTACACTGCTGGTATGATGGTAAGGTGGGGTTTGTGGCGTGGTGTTCATCCTAGGTGCAGACTGGAATTGATCTGTTATGTGATTTGCAAGTTTAATACCGGATGGGAGAAATTATAAGATTTTATTGGTTCGGGGAACAGAGGTATTTTTGGGCAACTGCTAATAAAACATTGATATATGTATAAATTTATTAAAAAGCTTTGTAAAGCTGATGTCGAAGTTGAGACATCCATCACAGTGTAACGCAGAGGAGGAAGACACTGCCTGATATCCATCCTTACCGTTCATGGTATAAACACTAGCATGTGTGGGGAAGATGACTCGCAGTATCCCAGCAACATATTTCTTCCCAAAGGAGTTTTCATTTATATAAAAGAAAGACTTAAGTGGAGATAAGAGTCAACCCAACTGCCCCAGCCTGACCTCAGCGTCCATACCCGAACCCATATCTGCGATATCCGAAGCCACCATATCCTCCATAGCCACCATATCCTCCATAGCCACCATAACCTCCATAGCCACCATATCCACCGTAGCCAAGATATCCCGGGTGACCTACTGGGGCTGCCACGGGACCGGCCAGGGCCGCCACCATTACAGCGGCCACCACCAACACCACCATCATTACCTGCAACAGAAAATGTTCTTCATATAATGTCCTCAATAAATGTTATTCATTATTGATACTTTGCATTGTCCTAAATTTTGATTGAAAGTTAACTCTCTTAAGTTTATTTAATACAAAATATTAACATCAATCATGTATCCCTTAAATACAGCACTAGTACTAGCTGGTATATATATATATAAGATTAACAACAGCTGATCTAAATAGTGCATTAGCTAATTTAAACAACGATTCAGCCTCAGTTAATCTCAACATATAACAGCAGAGATTGGATTGTCCACTCAACAGGAGCGTCTGTCACTCACAGCTCTGGAGACCATCTTGGGGACCTGAAGGTGTTCACTTGTCAGGGAGTCACAGACCACCATGTCCACCACTCGTCGCCTCCACCTTATATACCGCCACCAACCTGAAGTCCACTGGTGAACTTCAGCCATCTGTTTCTTGCCTAAATATATCATGACCTGATTTGTACATCCCAACCTTTCTCGCCTCAATTCGAGTTTATGTATGTTTTATGTGTTATAACAAGCAGAATAAGTTTTATAAATCAATGTTAATTAACAAATAAATTTTTTTGCAACTGAATGAAAATCAAGGCTTTGAAGTTAGCCCCCCAAAATATATATTTTGTTAAATTTTTACTAATATTCTGTTGGTGTGAGAAATGTTAATCTGTAATTTTGTTGGTCTGTGGCATCTGATATTTTTGACTGTTAAATATCGTGCAAAAAGAATTAAGTTCTTCACCGTAATGTTTGTAGATGATTGGAATTGCTTGTTTATTTCTTTTGCATATCAGACGAAATGGAACGGGATAGTAATTTTGTTATCAACATTTCCTCATTATCTGTCTCTAAAAAAAAGTAAATAACTAAATTTTTACTATGGTGGCCTGAAAGCTGAGTAGATAGCGCTTGGGATTCGTAGTTCTAAAGTTCCGGGTTCGATCCCCTGTGGAGGTGGAAACAAATGGGCAGAGTTTCTTTCATCCTTATGCACTTGTTCACCTAGCAGTAAATAAGTACCTAGGAGTTAGACAGCCGCTTCCTGGGGATGTGTAACAAAAAGGAGGACTGGTCGAGGACCATGCCGCGGGGACGCTAAGCCCCGAAATCATCTGAAGATAACCTCAAGATTGTATGACTTTTAAGATGATCAACAAATATTCTTAGAGAACGTCAAGATTATTATATGAATGTTGGATTTTTCCCTTTGTTTCAATCATTTTAAATGTATTTCAATACAAAGTTTGAAAAAACTGAGGACATTATCGTGTTATTTTTAAGAATGAACCCTTGAAGAGTTGTGAGGCTCATTCTCTTCATTGTACAACATTCTAAAAGTATTATAGCGAGACACACTCCAACATGCTCTAGGTGAAGAGATGAAGAAATATTATAATTAGTGTGGTCATTATATAATACGTTAAGATACAGACAGATGGTCAACAACAGGGAACATCTGTGATACACTCAAGGCGAGTTGGTCAGTAATGTGTGGTTGTTGGGTGAAGGTCACCAGTAGATATGAGGTTGGTGGAGGTATATAAGGTGGAGGTGACGGGTGGTGGACATTGTTGACTGTGACTCCCTGACAAGTGAACACCTTCAGATCCCCAAGATGGTCTCCAGAGCTGTGAGTGACAAAACCTCTCCAGTTAAGAAGACTAGTCATCACATGAGTCTAATATGTTGAGACCACCTGGTGATGATGATGCTTTGTTTAGATAACTTGGTGTTGATGTTATCTTTATATCAACGGTGCATAAGCTTATTTAGACCAGATGATACTGATGTGTTGAAATTTCCTTGTAAACAAACTGCTGAAACCTGATGTTAATTATTAATTTTATAAATATAATTTAACCCTTAAGGCTGCAGGTCACGTCAATTGAAGTATTAAGTTCAACAGGTTCAATCAGCAGTTTACTTTATTTAACGTCTATAAATACGATTTATATTTTCAATTCTTTATTTGACTTATGATGGGATAATATACCAACATAAAAATATAACGCAATGTAAAGAAATATCATGTATTAAAAGCAGATGAAAATTGTCGAGGACTTTAATTTTGAAGAATGTTTTGTGTTGCAGGTGATGATGATGGTGTTGGTGGTGGCCGCTGTCCTGGTAGCGGCCCTGGCCGGTCCCGTGGCAGCCCCGGTAGGTCACCCGGGATATCTTGGCTACGGTGGTTATGGCGGATATGGTGGCTTTGGACGTGGATTTGGTGGATATGGTGGCTATGGACGAGGATATGGCTTTGGATACAGATATGGGCGATGAGGCAAGTAGTTTGACATAAGTTTTCTCAGAATTATTATATACCTCTTGAATAATTATACTTAATTGCAAACGCTTTTCCTATGAATATTAGTGGTCATATATTTAAAGTCATGTATATATATGTGATATTTTTTTAGTTTCCAAAATGGATGATTATTAATCAGCCTGTTTCTTTTCCCTCAGAGTTGCAGTGATGAATGTGGGAAGTTCTTCATCCTCTTCACATACATTTTCATATATAAATAATATAGTTTAGGTTGTCTAGAAGTTACCCAAATACATCTGTTTCTTGAAGACTTGAGTTTTCACAACTCTGTCCATCCGATTTTATACTACTGTTGAGAGGTCTGATATAATTCAGTTCCTTCCTTTGTCAATAAGCAGCTGAGTAAGCCAGTTATGACAGTATGATATCATGTCTGCTGCCTATAGTGCAAGTGGTTAGGCATCATTCCTGCACCTCATTCGCATATCCTTGTCCTCACATCCCAGCTTCTTGTCCTCATATCCTAGATCTTGTCCTCATATCCCAGCTGCTTGTCCCCATATCCCAGCAGCTTGTCCTTATATCCCAGCTGCTTGTCCTCATATCCCAGCTGCTTGTCCTCATATCCCAGCTGCTTGTCCTCATAACCCTTACATGTGTTATATAGTCATACTGGCTTAGCACTTTCTCCTCATAATTACTTTACACTGCTATCACTGTAAAACAGTATACAATTGTGAATAAAATTTGAACATGCATTTGTAATAAAGCTTTTATTCTTATTTTAAGTTTTTATTATAATTATTCATCCTTCGGTTTAATAAGTTTAATGAATAGAGACCCATCGGTCATAAAGAACACAGAGCTAATAATAAATTATTAAATATACGTAACCCCACCCCTCCTCACTAGGCAGTAGGAACACCTAGAGCACATTAAGTTTACATGCTGTATCGTCACTTGAAAAAAAACTAGACTTCAAGGGATATCATCATGTATTATCATTAATCGTACATGGTGTGTAGCATCACGTAGAACCATCATTTTCACTCTCTAGTAAAACACCCACGGAAACACCCCTAAAATTTCATACATCTAGACCTATGGTAAATCTGTGAGACGCCATCACCAAAACGTCAAATACTTAGTCTCCTGACAAACTGATTCCATTTGGACTTATTGTTGACCGCTTCTCGCGCGATGTTCACATATAATCCCTATTTCTTCACCCACTCGCCATGCCTGTCCAGCTTCTTGGTCTTTCTCTTATATTCTCTCAAGTAATCATTCGTTACTACTTGATAATCATCAAGTCACTTTACTCGATAATCATCCAGTCACTCTACTCGATAATCATCCAGTCACTTTACTCGATAATCATCGTCACTCTATTCGGTAATCATCCAGTCACTCTATTCGGTAATCATCCAGTCACTCTATTCGGTAATCATCCAGTCACTCTACTCGACAATCATCCAGTCACTCAATGTAACAAAACCATCTCAATAAACTCTCCTCAACCCTGCAATATAACATGTGTCTGATTATTTATGTATTAATTAATTAGTACAATCCATCTTCATGTTTAAATAGTACTTTTTGTATCCATGTGAACTATCGCACACATATTGATGTAATGGACATTTAGATAGTAGAATTTGGTACTATTAACTTTATAAAGTCTGACCAAAATAAAGCTAAAGCCAAACTTAAATATTGCTATGCCTAGTAAAGCACATATATGTACTATATTAGGCCTCAGATTACGTGTATTAGGCCAAGAATTGTTTGATCAGGCTAAGGATTGTTTTATCAGGAGAAGGATTGTTATATTAGGTTAGGTTTTACATATATATTAAACGTTTCCGGTTTGCCCAAATTCAATAGAAGTCATTTCTACTTGCTAAGTGGCCATTACGTCAATATATGTACGATGGTCCTCATGGTTACTATAAGTACTATGTAAGCAGGAGGAAGCGGTGCCTTAACATATATAATGTATAGCCAACAGTTTGAGCAGGTGTTGGACGTATGTTTTGTTGTAGCAGTGAATGGTGTTTGAGTCGTGGCATGACGTGATCACATACTCAACATGTGTGGAGCGGTGTGTTGATGAGCCGAATAGTTATGTAGAGTTGCACTAGTGATCACAGAAGAGAAGTGAAGTGTTTGGGTCAACCTCCAGTTGGGAGGTGCAACTTGAAATACACTGTAGTGGTACCTCCAGTTTGGAGCTGTGAAGTACCGGCTAGAGCTACCTCGCTCTAGCCGGTAGAGCTAAATGGCCCCTTGCTCAAAGGCTAGAGCTAGTTTCTTAAGATTTTGTCATAATTATTTTTGATGGGTGGATTATATCTGCCTTGAACACCCCCTCATCACGTCCATTCAAAATATTATCAACTCACACACTGTGAATATAAGTCACCTGATAAGTCCTTGATTTATCTGTGTTTCTCTTTTCCATCTATGGTCTCGTGTTCAGTCGTTACATGGATCAGACACTTTTTGGTCACCTTTATCTAACCTTCTCAGTATCTTATGTCCAAATTGCATCACTTATAGTTCTTCATATTATTTGTAGTATCAGCTCATATTGCAAATCCTCACAGATTAGAAGTCAACATTCAGGAACAGTTTCGTTGCAAATATTTAAGTTTTCTTTGTTAAACAAGCTGAAGGATCAGCGATGCATATTCCAATACTAGTCTTACACTGGTTGTAAATAGCGTTTTGAATTATTCCTTATTAAGGTTATTGAAAATTTTCTCATATTAGAAAGCTTCGGATATATTGTTGATGTTATTTTGTTAATTAATTGTCGTGGTGAACCTTTTCTTGTGATGTTGTGGTATTTTGTGTGCTTTGAATTGTAATAAAACATGTGCTAACATTTTGTTGTTATGGAGGATAATAGTGACAGTGTTATGTTGAATGATAGTTTGGTTATTTTTACACTGCTGGTATGATGGTATGAGGGTAAGGTGGGGATTGTGGCGGGTTCGACCATAAGCAGACTGGAATTTGTCTGTTATGTGATTTGCAGGTTTAATTCCGAAGGGGAAAATAATAACATTGTACTGGTTCAGGGAGGAAAGGTATTTTCTGGTAGCTGCTAGTGAAACAATGATATATTTATATATTTATTAAAACGGCTTGTAAAGGTGATGTCGAAGTTATGACATCCATCACAGAGAAACGCTGAGGAGGAAGACACTGTCTAATATCCATCCTTATCGTTCCTGGTATAAACACACCAGCATATGTGGTGCAGATGACTCGCAGTATCCCACCAACATATTTCTCCACAAAAGAGTTTTCATTTATATTAAAGATACTTGAAGTGGACACAAGTCAACCTAACTGTTCCAGCTTAGCCTCAGCGTCCATATCCGAACCCATATCTGCGATATCCAAATCCACCATATCCACCATAACCACCATATCCACCGTAGCCAAGGTATCCCGGGTGACCTACCGGGGTTGCCACGGGACCGGCCAGGGCCGCCACCAGGACAGCGGCCACCACCAACACCATCATCATCACCTGCAACACAAAACGTTTCAATTTTTAAAAAATCTCAGAAATTGTAATTTTATCAATCAGTCTTCATGTCATGCGTGCAAATATGATGCCATTAAATGCATATAAAACCAGATTTAATTGGCAATACAATGGTGAAAAACCTAGTTGCAAGAAGTAGGTTAAGTGGGTTGATTAGTTTGGCTTAGATGTGTTTTAAGATATGTGTCAGTATCAGACGGAAATTTAATTACAATTTCTGTTACTTTAGGGATCTTACGAACAGAAAATATAATATAACAAAACTTTAATATCTGATGGTCTGAGGACAGCATCAGCAGGTCTGAACACAAAATATTAGGATCAACCCTGGTCCAGATCTTTTAACAAGTATCACTCACAGCCTTGGAGACCATCTTGGGGACCTGAAGTGTTCACTTGTTAGGGAGTTACAGTCCACAATATCCACCACCCATTGCCTCCACCTTATATACCTCCAACAACCTCAAGCCCAGTAAGACCTTAAATACCTCCACCAACCTCAAGTCCACTGTGTTTTGCCTAAATATATCATGACCTCATTTGTACACTCAAACGCTTGTCGCCGCAATTCAAGTGAACATATGTTTAGTGCGGTAATTGAAAATAAAATACGTGTTATAAACAGACGTTATTGTCAAGTATCCGGTTGTGAAATTTTAATGAACATTAACGTTTCGAGGTAAGCCATTCATGAATCATTTTTTTGTATTTTACCTACGAATCTGACTGCGAATGTGTTCCTCTGTAAGTCTCTTGATGTTAGAGTCATCTGACCTCTGTAATCCTTGAGTGGCTTTGTTGATGGCCGAAGAGAAGGATATTCAATCTTTAAAATACATTTTCTTTAGGTTCAGACATTTTTTCCTTTTCTTCTGCAAAGCAGACGAAAGGAAACGACGTTTATTGTGGTCAATTATTTTGTTATTTCTTGAGATTTCCCATTATCTGTTACGAAAAAGATAACTCATCAAATTTTGACTATTGTCTGCTAATGTATTTTAAACAATATTTCTAGGTAACCTCTAGAATATGAATGTATAAAGAGTTAATTGGGAAAAGTTGGATATTTGCTTCGTTTAAGAATATTGAATTGTCATTAAAGGCAAAATAGGTAGACAACGGTGCGGTGAAGTGTTTGGTTTCAGTGTCCTTGAGGGAATAGTAAACACACTACGCCAGTATGGCATAGACACACTACGCCAGTATGGCATAGACACACTACGCCAGTATGGCGTAGTAAATACTGGCCCTTAGTGTGTCCGATGTGTAGCGTGTTTGGTAATTGTTTCTCGGTTATAACACATATTATGTTTTTAAGGCCACACTAAACATATCTGCCCTCGGCGAGAGCGGTTGGGGTGTACAAATGAGGTCATTATATATTTAGGCAAGAAGCATGGTTAATAACTGGAACATCTTTTGAAAGTGCTGAATGTTGACGCCCAAATTTAACACGAGTTGGTTGACAGCCGGAGGTCACCAGTGAACTTGACGTTGGTGGAGGTATATAAGATGGAGGCGACGAGTGGTGGACATTGTGGACTGTGACTCCCTGACAAGTGAACACCTTCAGGTCCCCAAGATGGTCTCCAGAGCTGTGAGTGACAGATAAGTACTGTTTATAAGATGGCGCTGATGATGTGTTCAAAATAAAATAATGATATCTATTTTTCAGTTCTGCATTTAACGAAGGAGGGTTACAAAAATTTCACACAGTATAAGACAATATCAAGTATCAATGATGAATGATAATTATAATTATTGATGAGATTAATTATATGAAGAATGTTTTGTGTTGCAGGTGATGATGATGGTGTTGGTGGTGGCCGCTGTCCTGGTGGCGGCCCTGGCCGGTCCCGCGGCAGCCCCGGTTGGTCAACCGGGATATCTTGGCTACGGTGGATATGGTGGATATGGTGGCTATGGTGGTTATGGTGGATATGGTGGTTTTGGATATCGTAGATATGGGTTCGGATATGGACGCTGAGGCCAAGCTGGATCAGGTAGGATGACATAAATATGTTACTTAGTTACATGTTCATTTTTGTAACATATTGGTATACCTTTAACTGAGTATAATGTGTAGTTATATCTCATGTTTAGTTTATTTGATCAGAAACGCTTTACAGAATTATATTCTTGTCATCTGATAAAAGTCATCCCCAAAAAACACGGTCGTGTTAATTCAATGGACAAAAATACTCAACATTAATCATCATATTTCTACTTCTTCAGACTGGCACTATGACGAATGTTGCAACCTCATCGTCAACTTTACATCATTTTTTAATAAATATATAAATATATCTTTGTTTCATTAGCTTCTTCACAGAAATATTGGCTCTAAGAAAGTTCAAGTTTGCAGAAGTTTTTTCGTTCTGTAAAAAGCTATTATGTGTAATAGAACTGTCCCTGTTCCCTTGCTTTATCAGAACCGGTTCTGGTATAGGTCAGTTCCTCGCTCCGGTAATGCCAATATAACTGAGTGTCAGCTTTACCAGTATATATATCTCCCCTTCCCGAGGAATGGCTTCAACAGTCTGTTATCACTATAGAAGAGCCAATCCATATCCTTATAAGGGACGTGAATGGACCATATCTTCAACACTACTAGGCCTACATGTTATACCATCATGTATGTTGTAGCATCATGGGGGCCTCGTAGCCTGGTGGATAGCGCGCAGGACTCGTAATTCTGTGGCGCGGGTTCGATTCCCGCACGAGGCAGAAACAAATGGGCAAGTTTCTTTCACCCTGAATGCCCCTGTTACCTAGCAGTAAATAGGTACCTGGGTGTTAGTCAGCTGTCACGGGCTGCTTCCTGGGGGTGGAGGCCTGGTCGAGGACCGGGCCGCGGGGACACTAAAGCCCCGAAATCATCTCAAGATAACCTCAAGATCATGTAGCAAACACAAGGCTTACATTCTCCAGCATCACGTAAAACACACTAGGCCTACATACGAAGAACACGAGATTTTTCTGAAACAAAGGGAATGCAGAGACTATATACGGGCCGCATAGACACGCTAAAGTACCTAAATTACTGGGACCTTGTCAAAGCTCTCAAAATGTACTTTCAGTGAGGTGACAAGAGAGGTATCAGATAATATATGAATGGAAGATACTGGAGGGCCAAGTCAAAAATTTTCACAGTAGAATAACAACATTCTGGAGCGAAATATATGGTAGAAAATGCAGAGTAGAGCCAGTGAGGAGTAGAGGTGCTATAGGCACAATCGGAGAACTCTGTCCACGGGGCTCCACGGCTGTTCAATATCCTACCAACAAACATAAGATATATTGCCGGAGCAAATTTAAGGTGTTCAACAAACAATTGAAAGAGTTCCTGTAGCAAGTGGTGGATTAACCAGGCTGTAGTGGGTACATGAGCCTGCGGGCCTCTATTAGCAGGCCTATGGACTAAATTATCACAAGGCAAACCAGGCTCCAGGCCGGGCTTGGGAGAGCAAAAAAGCTCCCAGAACCTTCTCCAGGCATGCTCCAGGCCTACATACCGTAGCTTTACGAAAACACACTAGGCCTACATGATGAGCATCACATAGAACACACTAGGCCTACATGATGAGCATCACATAGAACACACTAGGCCTACATGATGAACATCACACAGAACACTCTAGGCCTACATGCAGTAGCACCACGTAGAACCAACACTATCACTCGAGTAACTCACAGAGTAACACCACACCGCTTCATACAACTAGGCCTATGGAGCCTCACCTGAGGTGGCAGCTATGTCAAACGTTCTCTATTAAGACATTCATTGTATTCATTTCAGCAAACTTCCCTAGCCAATCTGTCATCATCCATTAGTTTTAAAGGACCAAACAAATTTGCTTTTTGATTAGCACTTGGTATTAATTCGTAAAAATTTAAAATGAGTATTTAAGTCGTTTGTTTTCTCTTAAATAATATAAATATTTCTTCAAGTTTTTCTGAGTAAAACGGAGTAGTAAGGTAGGAACTGAACAATAAAAAATATATAGATTTAACAATATAATAACATAGGAAAAATTCAGAAATAATCAGTTTAATATACACTGGGTGTTCATCGAACATCAAGACTGTTATGCTTAATATTATGCATACTCGCTGGTAATTAATTAAACATTTTAATTTGTTGCATCGTTAAGCATTTGGAAAAATTACTAAACATTGTTCATTACACAACATTGCATGCGGCTGACCATGACGGAGCTGGGACTGTACCACGATTCCTGATAATGTTTGCCGACCATCCGGGCGAAAGTCCGGTTGAACTTATTATTTCTGGGAAAAATGATAATAGCACAAACATATATTTATATATTTATTATAAAATAATATAAGGTTGACGCTGAAGTTCCCACATTCGTCACAGTGTCATGACTGAGGAAGGACGAATTCACTGATTATTGTTGAGTGGACGAACACCTTCATGTATTCTGAGTTGACTTAACATGTAAGTAAAAGTTTTGTAATCCGAAATTTTCAGTTAAATTTAATTAGTCAAGTGGTGTACACATAAGTACATGAACACGTGTATAAACAGGAATATATACAGGTACATATAAACATGGATATACACAAGGAACAGCTCATAAAGTTATTTCAAATAGTTAACTTCGAGAGGAGAATTACGTCAACCAACTTGGCCTCAGCGTCCATATCCAAATCGACGTCCAAATCCAAATCCACGTCCATATCCACCATATCCACCATAACCACCATATCCGCCATAACCACCATATCCACCGTAGCCAAGATATCCTGGGTGACCTACTGGGGCTGCCGCGGGACCGGCCAGGGCCGCCACCAGGACAGCGGCCACCACCAACACCATCATCATCACCTGCAACACAAAACATTCTTCAAATAATTAATGTCCTCGATTATTGTTATTCACTGAGCATTTATTTCCATATACATCATTAATATGAATGAGTTTCAACACAGCATCAGCACCAGCTAGTCCCAACTCAGCATTATTCCATCTTCAGACCAACACTAACAACAAACGCGTCTGTCACTCACAGCTCTGGAGACCATCTTGGGGACCTGAAGGTGTTCACTTGTCAGGGAGTCACAGGCCACAATGTCCACTACCCGTCGTCTCCATCTTTTATACCGCCACCAACATAAAGTCCACTGGTGACCTCCAGCTGTCAACCACTCACTACTGACAAACTGACCTCCAGTGTACTACAGATTATCTCTGTTGTTGATCATGTCTGTATCTTGACGCAATATAATAATGACCTCAGTAATTATAGTATTTATTCGTCCACCTCTCTCCCCTCCTCCCCAACGAACACACGACCACAATGTTACAGCATTGGGGGAGGGAAGGATCAGGGGAAGGGGGGGGGGAGTGGTCAAACTGGTCTGGAAAGACTGCGGGATTGAAGGATTGACACAAAAAACACCTCATAATAATAATATACACCCCACTTAAAACGATTGAGGGGGGCCCAGATAGAAGTACCATAGGAGAGTTCCTACAATCATAGATTGACCCATTTCTTGTGCAGTGTCTGGATCTTGATTGTTATTCATTAGAGACTGCGACGTTGCTGGAACCATGTGTATTGGCATTTGCCTTTCTATTGGATAATTTCAGCAACGTGGAGAGGGGGGACCTGCTGCATTGGTAAAAGCTTCTCCTCCATATCTACCTACCCAGGATTTGCGCCCTGTCAGGGCGCAACTCCATAGTCTTACACTGAAGGATGCCTACTACCAGAGACAACAAACATGGATAAGATAGAGTGGTAGAATGGGCAACCTCATAAGGACCAAGATACGTGAGAGACACACACAAGTGGAAGCTAAAGGAGAATTTGTTTAAGTCAATGTGTGAAGTAACAGTGACGGGTAATAACACTGCCGAAGAGGATATTGAAAATTCTTGCCCGAAGAGAGCAGTGAATTGAAATCGGATGGTAAAACTCTGACCCTCCGAGATGTTATGTCAACTTGACGAGGGTATCGGGCAAGTTATTGCCATAAACACTGCATTATTTTACTGCATGATGGGGGCAACCATATCAAGTTGATGGTTTTAAAGTAAGAATTTAGTATATTTAAGCTAAAACTAAAAACATTTGTAACATATCTGTGAACACATTATGTATACCAAGCACGCCACTTTTGAGGTCAGAAAAATAAAATCCTTAACTTTATGTTAATAATGTGTTATCTATTGCTCGGACAATTGTAAACAGCTCGGCGCGGAAGTGTGATATAGTTCAGGGATTTATTGAACAATCAACCACAGAAGGTGATTGTAGTATTTTTAAAGTGCTACTCTAACCTACATACATAAATACACAGACACACAGATTTACGTATGGCCTACATAAAGTGGTCGATGTGTCTTTTACATAGTGTGTGTGTATATATATATATATATATATATATATATATATATATATATATATATATATATATATATATATATATATATATATATATTAGTATATTTTGGTAGCAGTCTTTCCTGTAGACATATATTATTAAATATGACCGAAAAAGTAAGATTAATAATTCTAACACGAATTTTCTCAATCTTTCGTACATTTCTTTTCACTGTTGGAGGTAAATCAAAAATCAATTCTCCAAAATTCATTTTTATTTCTAGTCTGACGCGACACGAGCGCGTTTCGTAAAACTTATTAAAATGTAAATGTCTTTGAAAATGTAATAAGTTTTACGAAACACGCTCGTGTCGCGTCAGACTAGAAATAAAAATGAATTTTGGAGAATTGATTTTTTATTTACCTCCAACAGTGAAAAGAAATGTACGAAAGATTGAGAAAATTCGTGTTAGAATTATTAATCTTACTTTTTCGGTCATATTTAATTTTATATATATATATATATATATATATATATATATATATATATATATATATATATATATATATATATATATATATATATATATATATATATATATATATATATATATATATATATATATATATATATATATATATATATATATATATATATATATATATATATATAGGGAAGGGAGTACCACCTCTGGCTGGAAGAAGGGGGACCCATAGCCTCGGAGGAAACCACACATAACGACACATAACCACACATATATATATATATATATATATATATATATATATATATATATATATATATATATATATATATATATATATATATATATATATATATATATATATATTTTTTTTTTTTTTTTTTTTTTTTTTTTTTTGAGGTGTACTCAGCTTCTCGGTAAATATGCTCTGAGAGTTTACTTCATTCCTGGACTATGTTCAGGACTAAAGCAAGCTTTCTAGTTGGTTAGTAAGTTGTTGTGGTGGCATTAACAGACCCTCTGACGAGTAAAGTTGAGAAGCTAAAATGAGGTCATGATATATTTAGGCAGAAGCAGACAGATGGATAAACTCATCAGAGGTGAGTTTGTGAGTAGTGAGTGGTTGACAGCCGGAGGTCACCAGTTGACTTGAGGTTGGTGGAGGTATATAAGGTGGAGGCGACGGGTGGTGGACATCGTGGATTGTGACTCTCTGAGAGGTGAACACCTTCAGATCTCCAAGATGATCTCCAGAGCTGTAAGTGACAGACACTCTTGTTGATAGGACTATCCACCACCTGCTGCTGATAGGTTGAGCTTGGTTGAAGCTGAAGCGTTGCTTAGAAAAACTAATGCACTATTAAGATCAGTTGATGCAAATGTTATGTTGAAATCAGATGGTACTAGTGCTCTATCGATAAATCATAAATCAATGAGGTTTATCTGTTTAAATTTTGTAATATATATTTAAGAATTTTAACAGTCAAACACAATATATATTTTCCACAATGAATGGCAATAATTGTGGACATTAATTATATGAAAAATGTTTTGTGTTGCAGGTGATGATGATGGTGTTGGTGGTGGCCGCTGTCCTGGTGGCGGCCCTGGCCGGTCCCGTGGCAGCCCCGGTAGGTCACCCGGGATATCTTGGCTACGGTGGATATGGTGGTTATGGTGGATATGGTGGATATGGACGTGGATTTGGATTTGGACATCGATTTGGTTATGGACGCTGAGGCCAAGTTGGTTGAGGTAATTCTCCTGTCCAAGTTGTCTATTTGAAATAACTTCATAAGCTGTACCTTGTACATATCCATGTTTATATGTACCTTTATATATTCCTGTTTATACACGTGTGCATGTACCTTAGTGCATACCACTTGACTAATTAAATTTAGTTGAAATTTCTCGGATTACAAAACTTTTACTTACATGTTAAGTCAACTCAGAATACATGAAGGTGTTCGTCCACTCGACAATAATCAGTGTGTTCGTCCTTCCTCAGTCGTGACACTGTGAGGAATGTGGAAACTTCAGCGTCAACCTTATATTATTTTGTAATAAATATATAAATATATCTTTGTGCTATTATTAGTTTCCCAGAAATAATGAGTTCAACCGAGATTTTGCCCGGATGGTCGGCAAACATTATCAGGAATCGTGGTACAGTTTTGTTTTCAGTTCCGCCCAAGGTTGTGGTATTAAGCATTGTATAGAAAAGTGTTAAATGTTTAACGATGCAATATATATAATTCTTTAACTAATAACGAACGTGTGCGCCAAATATTATGCTCGAAATTTGATTTTCAATAAACACTGGTTGTATGTTAAATAATTTTTTTCTGGATTTACCTATTTTAATAACTTGAAGCAATTTTGATATAATTGGTATTAGACAGTTACTTTAAATATTAGTCTAAGATTTCCCCAATATATTAATACCAAGTAAGAGTCAAAAAGCTAATTTATTTAATCTTATATATGTAATGGATGATAATAGAGTGGATAAGGAAGTTAATTAAAAAAAATCATAAATTTGTTAATATTTTTTTTTTACATTTCGTAGATGGTGCCTCGCGAGAGGCTCAATAGGCCTAGCTGTGTGACACAGTGTTGTGTTGCTGGGTGTTTATTACCGGAGTTTGGTAGTGATGATTGTACGTAATGCTACAATCTATAGGTTAAGTGTGTTCTGCATGATGCAACAACCTGTAGGCCTAGTGTGTTCAACAGTATGTAGGCCTAGTGTGTTCAACAGTATGTAGGCCTTGTGTGTTCAACAGTATGTAGGCCTAGTGTGTTCAACAGTATGTAGGCCTAGTGTGTTCAACAGTATGTAGGCCTAGTGTGTTCAACAGTATGTAGGCCTAGTGTGTTCAACAGTATGTAGGCCTAGTGTGTTCAACAGTATGTAGGCCTTGTGTGTTCAACAGTATGTAGGCCTAGTGTGTTCAACAGTATGTAGGCCTAGTGTGTTCAACAGTATGTAGGCCTAGTGTGTTCAACAGTATGTAGGCCTAGTGTGTTCAACAGTATGTAGGCCTAGTGTGTTCAACAGTATGTAGGCCTTGTGTGTTCAACAGTATGTAGGCCTTGTGTGTTCAACAGTATGTAGGCCTAGTGTGTTCAACAGTATGTAGGCCTAGTGTGTTCAACAGTATGTAGGCCTAGTGTGTTCAACAGTATGTAGGCCTTGTGTGTTCAACAGTATGTAGGCCTAGTGTGTTCAACAGTATGTAGGCCTAGTGTGTTCAACAGTACTACTCTAATACTCTAAACGGAGTCCTGAGGCTTCAACTGAAGCCAAATCAGGGTTTTCATACTCACTGTCCGCATAAAGTCTGGGTGTAGTCTAGGAGTTCACCTTCACAGCTTTTCTTCAAACGCACAAAGAATCTCAGGTTGCATTGCTTTTGACCATGTCGTAGCGTAGTGGTCTAAGGCTTGTGCTTGAGAGTATCCAGAACATAGGTTCGATTCCTCCTCTGCTGATTTTTTAATTGATACATTACGTTAATGTGATTTCTTTGTGCCATAATACTAATATAATGATAGATTTATTGGAGGTTCGCATCCCTTATAAATGATATCCATTGGTTCATCTATTGCGATAACAGGTCGGTTATACCCTTCTGAGGGGATATATGGTGTTAACCCTAACAATCACGCTCAATCAAGTCTTTACAAACACTAACTTATCACTGACCACTTTGACTTTTCCAGAAATATTAACTTAATAGTTAGAAAATTCAACTTAATAATGAGTGATATCTTTAACGGGGTAGCGGGTCTACAGGGCAGGATAACACAAATGGTCAGCAGAGAGAGCAGGGAGACCCCACCCCCCAGCTGGGTATTTGGAATTAAGGAACTATGCTGTCACACAGAGAGAGATGGATTACTGGCACGCATTTTGAGTCCAACTGAAGTGAGATTGATGTTGCATGAGCTGTGTTTGTGTTGTGATTTTGAGGCAGGATAGTCTCAGAATCTGTTAATGACAAATACTCAGGCTGTGCAAATACTCATACCATGCAGCGTCATGGTATGAGTGGTTTTATAATTATTAGCTAAATGTCACTCATTTTATGCCTAACATTTAATAATTGATTTAGATTGTTATACAAATGTTTAGTTTAGTCAATATTGAAATTGTTTAAATTGTAACCCATTAAGTTTCTGATTTTCATAATAACAATGTCTGCTTACGATTCTGCTTACAATGTCTTGCGATTCTCTTATGTAATTAATGTACTGTACTTTGCTTTTTATATAAACTTTCAAAATTACAAATGTACTACATTTAGAAATAAAGTTTTGATTTGAATTATTTGTTTTGCCTAGCATTACCACTCAGTTAATGGCTCATCACAACAGATTGGGTGAACGGCCTTGGAGGAGCAAGGAACCGACCTCTCCCAGAAACCAGTTCTGAATCAGCAAGGGAAGAGGACAGGTCTATTATCCATAATAATAATAATTTTTCACTTGATCAAACTTCTGCAAACTTGACCTTTCTTAGAGCCAATATTTCTGTGAAGAAGCTAATGAAACAAAGATATATTTATATATTTATTAAAAAACTATGTAAGGTTGATGATGAGGTTGCAACATTCGTCACAGTGCCAGTCTGAAGAAGTAGAAATATCATGATTAATTATGAGTCTTTTTGTCCATTGTATAATTTAATCATATGACTTTTATCATATGACAAGAATATAATCGTGTGAAGCATTTCTGAGCAAATAAACTAAACATGAGATATAACTACACATTATAATCAGTTAAAGGTATACCAATATGTTACATGGGATGAACATGTAAATAAGTAACATATTTATGTCATCCTACCTGATCCAGCTTGGCCTCAGCGTCCATATCCGAACCCATATCTGCGATATCCAAAACCACCATATCCACCATAGCCACCATATCCACCATATCCACCATATCCACCGTAGCCAAGATATCCCGGGTGACCTACCGGGGCTGCCGCGGGACCGGCCAGGGCCGCCACCAGGACAGCGGCCACCACCAACACCATCATCATCACCTGCAACACAAAACATTCTTCATAATTAATGTCCTCTCTAATTTTTATTCATTATTGTTACGTTATATTGTGCTTGAATGCTACTGGTAGCATTAAAGCACAATAATACATTTAAAATTTAAATGTATTAATTTCTAACCTGAATTTAAACAAACAAGTACGGTATCACTAATTTATTCTACATAATAGACTTATATTAGTAGCTCTTCTAAATATAACTTCAGCAATCGATGATGTAAACACCGTTTCTGCCTCAGCTGATCTCAACATATCAATGCCAAGCTTTCAATAGTCCTCTCAACAAACGCGTTTGTCACTCACAGCTCTAGAGACCATCTTGGGGACCTGAAGGTGTTCACTTCTCAGGGAGTCACAGTCCACAATGTCCACCACCCTTCGCCTCCACCTTAAATACCTCCACCAACCTCAAGTCAACTGGTGACCTCCGGCTGTCAACCACTGACTACTCACAAACTCACCTCTGGTGTAATGTCTAATTTGGGCGTCAACATTCAGCTCTTACGAAAGATGTTCCAGCAATTACCCATCTGTCTGCTTCTTGCCCAAATATATCATGACCTCATTTTAGCTTCTCAACTTTACTCGTCTGAGAGGCTGTTAATGCACTACTAGAAAGTATACTTTAGTCCTGAAAATAGTCCATAACTAGAGTATAGACTCCTAGTGCATATATACACTGAGAAGCGGAATTCACGTCTGTTTAAATGTTCTTTGTGGCCGGAACTGGAGTGTATATGTCTTTTTATCGATTTTTTTGTTTATACTTTGTTGATCTGTGAATTTGTTGCTCTGTTGTGCAGGTCTGTGAGTCGTTTGCTCTGTTATTATGTGAGCCAGTCAGTCTGTGAATCATTAGGTCTGTGAGTTTATCGGTTTGTGATTATTATTGCCGCTACAGAACCTGAATACCTTTGTTAACAAGCTTTGTTAACACGCAAGAAAATAATATCATAAGCTTATATGAGTCACAATAACACGCTGAATATATGAGGACCAAAGCAAACATTAAAAGATGAAGAAACGACGACGTTTCTACCTGTCCAGGACCTTATCAAGTCGACTTGACGATGGTCCACGACTGAACGAAACGTCGTCTTTTCTTCATTTTCTGATGAGTGGTTTGGCTATCGAACCAAGCGCTTATCTTTGTCATGAACTCTCTAGGCACTTGTTGAAGCTCATGTCAAGTGAAAACCATTTACATTTGACTGACAAACCAATAATGGAGAAAGTGGTCATATGAAGACAGGTTTATTCCTGAGCTGTGGGGGCAGTCACCAATAACGGTTGTCCAGACAACTTAATCTCTCTCTACATTGGAGGAGAGTAGGAAAATGAGGGAACATGACAACGACATCTAAAATTTTAAGGAGGAAAACAATGCTACGAAATCTTTCCAAATAGTCTGCTAATTCCTTAAAGCGTTTCTACTAATACCATACCCATCATATCAACACTGCGCTATATATAGTGAAACAGACCTCTAACCATATTTTTGTAGGAGAGATGTCAGTAGAACAGCACAAGTCAACAACGATGCAGAAATATTGACATGAGAAATATTTGGCATAACGCTTTAGAACATTTATTATGATGCTCGACCAGCCTTAAGGGAGTTCCAAACTACCCCTGGTTGTCAGAACCCACCTGCCAGCCACCATGATTACCCTCCCTCTCCCTGAATGTCAGCCACGCACATCCTGTTACCTTCCTTGAGCAGGTAACATTTGAACAGTTGAACTCTTCTCTCTTTTCAGTCATTACAACACAAATACTCGGAGGTCGATCATTCCAGAGTGGCTTCAAATTGTTCTTGGTCTTATATCTGGATTGTTCATGATGAGTATCTGGCTGGTTCATCATTGTTAAGAACATAAGAAGAACATCAGAATAAGAAAGAGGAACAGCAGAGAGCCTATTGGTCCATGTGATGCACCTCCTATTTAATTGCTCGCAATCTCATTCACCTACGACTGAAACAATACGACAATCCGATATCTATCATATTACAGAGTAATTTATTTCATAAATCAAATACTTCCAAACCAGTATTTGCCCAGTTCTGTATTCAATCTAAATTTATGCATTTTATAGCTAGTTTCGTTTTATATTTTGTGTTACTTAACTTGTTGACTAAAACAAATTTTCATATTTGCTTCCTGTTGTTTGTACTTCTTAGTATATGTTCCTTCACGAGGTCCTCATTCCTCCCAATTTATCTTACCCTGGTTGAAGTCTCCTATTAATAAGAACCAAAATCCCAGTATTTGTAATAGAAGTGACTCCTTTCTGTGATTGTAGTTGCTGCTCTATTGATTTTTTTGGTACTCCTGTCTGAATTCTCATACGTATTCATGGGGGTACGCATTATTATTACCATTATCTTGGTTCCTTCCATTATCCTGGACCCTGTTATATAGACAGTCAATCCTTGACAGACCGTTCGATTCCCCAGTCTTGCCCGACTTGTTTAACCTTTCACTGTCCAATCCTCTCTTTCCTTCTCTTCCCTTTATCCTGTAACATTTTGGTCGGTGGGGAGGAGGGGAGAGAGAGGAGAGGGGTGGTGGGAGAGAGGAAGAATAAATACTGTAATTACTGAGGTCATTATTATATTGCGTCAAGATACTGACATATGGTCAACAACAGGGAACATCTGTTATGTACTCAAGCTTAGATGGTCAGTAATGTGTGGTTGGTGGGTGAAGGTCACCAGTGGAATTGATGTTGGTGGAGGTATATAAGGTGGAGGCGACGGGTGGTGGACATTGTAGACTGTGACTCCCTGACAAGTGAACACCTTTAGGTCTTCAAGATGTTCTCCAGAGCTGTGAGTGACAGACGCTCCTGTTGAGAGGCCTATCCAATCCCAGCTGTTAATATGTTGAGATAAATTGAGGCTGAATCGTTGTTTAGAATAACTAATGCACTATTTAGATCTGCTGTTGCTAGTCTTATGTTTAGACCAGCTGGTACTAGTGCTGTATTTAAGGGATAAATGATTGATGTTAATATTTTGTATTAAACTTTAGAGAATTAACATTCAATCACAATTTAAGACAATATGAAGTAATAATAATGAATGACAATAATTGAGGACAATAATTATATGAAGAATGTTTTGTGTTGCAGGTGATGATGATGGTGTTGGTGGTGGCCGCTGTCCTGGTGGCGGCCCTGGCAGGTCCCGCGGCAGCCCCGGTTGGTCACCCGGGATATCTTGGCTACGGTGGATATGGTGGTTATGGCGGATATGGTGGCTATGGTGGCTTTAGACGTGGATTTGGCGGATATGGTGGCTTTGGACGTGGATTTGGCGGATATGGATATGGTCGCTGAGGCCAAGCTGGGCCAGGTATATATATATATATACTCGTATATATTTCAATCTACACTTAATCATTGAAAACTCCTTTTAGTAGATAAATTTGTCCAATGAACAGTAAGGATGGATATTAATCTGTGTGTTTTCTTTCTCAGAGTTAAACTTGTGACGGTCCTCGCAACTTCCACATCAACCATACATAGTTTTTTTATAATAAATATATAAACATATCAATGTTTCATTAGCAGTTATCCAAAAATAGTGATGTTACCAGGAATTCCAGGTATTTAGAACATTTACCATCTGCATAGAAGAATTGTTAAGAATCCTGGCACCGTCCAGTTTCTTGTTCAGCTATTATCAATAACCTGCCCTAATCAGTCATTATGTACGTGACGTAATCTTACGTAACTTAAAAATTACGCAATATTGCGTGACTTAACCTAACCTGACCTAATTTAACACTATCTGACTTAACCAAACTTAAACCTAACCAAACACAATTTGAGGTTAATAGCATAACATGAATTATAATAAAGATTGTTTGGTGCACAATGACACAACGAGCAGGTGATGCTTCTATAGGAAAACATCTGTGGTAGTACAGTGGGATCGATCAATAATGTGAAAAAAATAATTTTTTCCACTACTGCTCACAAGATAGGTATGTAGTCCACTACCGCTCAAAGGATATATGAGGTCCACTGTCGCTCACCGGATGGCTATGAGGTCCATTACCCCATACAGGCTGGATATTAGGTCCACTTTCCCCATACAGGATGGATATGAGGTCCACTACCCCATACAGGATGAATATGAGGTCCACTACCCCATACAGGATGGATATGAGGTCCACTACCCCATACAGGATGGATATGAGGTCCACTACCCCATACAGGATAGTTATGAGGTCCACTACCCCTTACAGGATGGATATGAAGTCCACTACCCCATACAGGATGGATATAAGGTCCACTATCCCATACAGGATAGTTATGAGGTCCACTACCCCTTACAGGATGGATATGAAGTCCACTACCCCATACAGGATGGATATGAGGTCCACTACCCAATACATGATGGTTATAAGGTCCACTATCCTATACAGGATAGTTATGAGGTCCACTAACCCATACAAGATGGATATGAGGCCCACTAACTCATACAGGATGGGTATGAGGTCTGTTACCACTCACGGGATGGGAACGGGGTGTATAATACAGTACATGAACTAAACTAATTAGAAGACTAAATCGGGCAGTGAGCTCTCAACAGGAGCCCTTACCTTCCCTGGTGAGTGGCCTGTCACCTACTGAAGACTGAATCGTGACCTCACTCGTTTAATTTTAGTCTCAGCTTTATAGGTAAAGTTTTTTTATGTGTACTTACCTGATACTAGCTTACCTATACGGCTTGTTCTTACTTGATGCAAGCCTACTTATCCTGTTTGTAAACGAACCTGATACCGGGAATATTTCCTAGGGAAAATGTACTTACCTTGGTTGTATAATAAGGATAAATGAGGGGGCCCTGACAGCTAAGTGGACAGCACTCGGGATTCGTAGTCCTAAGGTTTCGGGTTCGATCCCTGGCGGAGGCGGAAACAAATGGGCAGATTTTCTTTCAACCTGATGTTATGTTTACCTAGCAGTAAATAGGTACCTGGGAGTTACACAGCTCCTACGGACTGTTTCCTTGGGATGTGAAACAAAATAAAGGAGGCATGGTCGAGGACCGGGCCGCGGGGACGCTAAGCCCCGAAATCATCTCTTACCAGGAAGGGAAGGTGTATAAATATGTAAAATAATATATATATAAGGAATATATATCAACTATATATATTTTTTATTTTACAAAAGGGCGTATATACAGTACAGCAAAAGGTGATTTAAGCTTTTCAGTGTACTATGTACACTGAGAGTTTACTTTAGTTCTGGATAATGTTCAGGGTGAAAGTATATTTGCTGGTTGGTCAGTTAACTATTGTGGCGGCCTTAATAACTCACCAGAGATTGAAAGGCCTTAAACTCCTCAGAGTTGAATAGGCTTTAAACCCAACACCAATCCGACCAAAGAGCCTCACACACACACTTATCCAAACATTGGTTTAGATTCGAAGTGTATATTAGTTGGCGTTGGGTTTATGGCTTACCAGCCTCCGGAAGGCTTAAAGCCTTTCAGAAGCTTTAAGCTTATTGACCAACCATCAAGTATACTTTAGTCCTGAAGATAATCCTGGTCTAAAGTAAGCTCCCAATGTATATACACCGAGAAGGGCAGTACACACACACCTCTCAGTGTACAGGTATATACATCCCTTGTTTATGTAAGTGGTTACTTATTATCTTACTGGAACAATTGTATCATGTTCTTAATTTATGGTAACAAGAATATTGATAAATCTTGGCAACGAAAACAAACACAGTATGTATAAATATATTTATTTATTTAAAAGTGATGTGAAGTTAGTGATGAGTTTGCCACATTCGTCTGAGGAAGAAGAAACACTGATTAATGTTCAGTTGTTCGTCCATCGTATCACTTCAAGCAGCTATAGAATATTCCTCGTGCTTTAGTGTCAAAATGTCTTTCCCTGAGGTGTTTTGAATGTTAAAATGAAGTGTTATATACACACACTGAATGGTTCATGAAACCTTAGATGGATGTCAATATACTACTCTCAGATCCGTTTTCTATTCAAATATAAAAGTCTGCAAATGCTAACCTCAACGTCCATATCCGAATCTTTGTACATAACTAACTCCTCCTCCGTATCCGAGTCCGTATCCGAATCCATATCCGCCATATCCACCGTAGCCAAGATATCCTGGGTGACCTACTGGGGCTGCCGCGGGACCGGCCAGGGCCGCCACCAGGACAGCGGCCACCACCAACACCATCATCATCACCTGCAACACAAAACATTCTTCATAATTAATGTCCTTAATTTTTGTTATTCATTGTGGATATATGTTCATATACATTAATATCAAAGGTATTACCACAGCACCAGCTGGTCTCAACACAGCATCAGCACCAGCTGGTCTCAACTCAGCATCAGCACCAGCTGGTCTCAACACAGCATCAGCACCAGCTGGTCTCAACTCAGCATAAGCTGGTCTCAATTCAGCATAAGCTGGTCTCAACACAGCATCAGCACCAGCTGGTCTCAACTCAGTATAAGCTGGTCTCAACACAGCATCAGCACCAGCTGGCCTCAACTCAGCATAAGCTGGTCTCAACTCAGCATCAGCACCAGCTGGTCTCAACACAGCATCAGCACAGCTGGTCTCAACACAGCATCAGCACCAGCTAGTCTTAACTCATCATTATTAAATTTTCAGACGAACAACACCAACAGGAGCGTCTGTCACTCACAGCTCTGGAGACCATCTTGGGGACCTGAAGGTGTTCACTTGTCAGGGAGTCACAGTCTACAATGTCCACCACCCGTCGCCTCCACCTTATATACCTCCACCAACCTCAAGTCCACTGGCGATCTTCACTCACCAACCACTCATTATACAGACCAATTCACCTCGAATAAACAGTATTTGACTTGAGTGTAAGCATTCAAAATGTTATGCAATGGCTCTCACATATACCATCTGTCGTTATTCACCAAATAAATTCTCACTAACCAACTATTTTTGGATATTCTAAATAAATCCTGACCATATTTGACGATACATACTCGCCAGTGCTCAATCACATGATTATTGAAGACGAGAGAAGATTACAGACCTTTCATGGAAAATTGAAACTGAAAGCATTGCCATACAAATGATTATTTTGCTGCAAATCAAGAAAAAGGAATGATATATGTATGTCATATTGTGGTGATCCTGGCCGGTGGGGGTTCAAATACTGGTAGGGTCAAAAACCACTCGACCATCAGTGACCGTACAAAAGGCGGTGATAGCCGAGGCTATTTGAACCACCACCCCGATAGCACTTTGATGGTAATCTTGGGCATAGCTATTTCATCAAATCACCTCATTTTTGTGGGGCCACGTAAGCAACACAAATACGAACAAGCTTGAATGGTTCCCAAGCCTATATGCAACGGAAAACTCCACACCCCAGAACTGATTCGAACCTGGACCGCCAGGAGCACAGTGCAACTGGTGTACACGGTGCCTTAAACCACTCGACCATCAGTGACCGTGCAAAAAGCGGTGATATCACTGCCTTTTGGTGGACACCAATATATACTACTAATATTGGTGGATACCAATATATAATACTTATATCGGTTGATACCAATATATATACTACTTACAGTTCCGTATTCAATTGAAATATAAAAGTCTGCCCAAGCTAACCTCATCGTCCATATCCGAATCTTATGGATATGGACGATGAGGTATCCTCCTCCGTATCCGACCTACCGGGGCTGCCAATGGACCGGCCAGGGCCGCCACCAGGACATCGGCCACCACCAACACCATCATCATCACCTGCAAGACATAGAGACAAATATATTAATTTCCTTTAAGCAATTATATCTAAATACATATTTTGCATTCTAAGAAAAACATAATTTTATGCATTTATTCATCAAATAGGATCAACACCAAGATCAAGAGTATTGCTGTCACAGTTGGTGAGACCGTCATGGCGTTACCTCCGGGGACTTGTAAGCGAGTCCAACACTGTCCAACACCTGTCTCCAACACTGTCTCCAACACAGTATACACTCCGCTCTCCTCCCGCCAGGCGTGAGGGTTTCAACCACTAATTATTCGCCACTTTACCTCTAGTGCGCAATACAGTGTATTTTGGTCTGTGAATTTAGGACATGAAAATGGACACTAAAAAGCAATTACTTCGTGTGGCCATCTGTCTGCCGTGGCCAGAAATAAATCTTGACCTTATGGAGCTCACACGCACTGAGAGAGAGAGAGAGATGGAGAGAGAGAGAGAGAGAGAGAGAGAGAGAGAGAGAGAGAGAGAGAGAGAGAGAGAGAGAGAGAGAGAGAGAGAGAGAGAGAGAGAGAGAGAGAGAGAGAGAGAGAGAGAGAGAGAGAGAGAGAGAGAGAGAGAGAGAGAGAGAGAGAGAGAGAGAGAGAAAGAGAATTCTCACCTATTTGTGCCTGCAGGATCGATCATTATCTCTTGGACCTGCTTTGTGTGTGTGTGCGTCCCCATACAGTACACTGACCGCAGATTAGGAAAGGCGTCACCTTGACAGCGCCCACACCATGAAGCGTACTATATGGTCATTACATGTACCCCTCCATGTGTTTGTTTGTGGTCTAGTGTGGCGTGGGAGGTCGACCGTCAGCCTGAGACTGTTGTTCCTGCGACACGACCAAGGCCTTCACGGTTACCTTCACGGTTTGCGTAGAGCAACGTGTTAATTCTCGTATATGCAATACTTAATTCATTATAAAAATACAATTAATACAAAATATTATTTTAATTAATATAATTATTTGTAAAATGTGTGTTATAATTTGCTTGTTGGTGGAATATTAGACTTTTTTAATATTAGTGTCTTCTTTTCTTTCCATGAAAAGAACGCACGAAGCCAAAAACCTACACTGAGAAGTAGGGAACGCCGGCCACTCGGTTGATCCATTTTGCAGAAGGCATAAACTATCAACCTTTGAAAGGTTATTGAGGTTGCCGCTATAGGAAACCTAAACATAAGATTTCCTCCAGTTACAGCCCCGCTCCTGTGCCAGGTAAGTCCGCTACGGGCTTACTATATACTCAGTGCTACTTGGAAATTATTTTTTCGAGTATCTGAATCTAAAATAACAACAATAATATTTTCTCATCAATATTTCACGTTATTGTGAGTCGTGTGCGCGTCTATCACTATATGTTTCTGACCAGCCAGTAGGTGAACGTTAATCCTGAGAATATTGGGGGCTATGGCGGATATGCCATACGACGACTGTCTTGCTTTATGTTTAAGAAACCTAATAAAGAACGCATTCTATTTCTTATTAGGTTCGGTGATGGACTTAATGTCGAGCAGCCTATAGAGGGTTAATAAGGTAACCACAAGTGATAAATGACAGTCAGTTATCACTTGCATGTATGTTAAGAATATTTTGGGTCAAGTCCAGAAAAATATTAAACATGCATTGTTTAAACTTATTAAAATATGTATTTTTTTGCTGTACTTAATAGGTACTATTACTGAAATTTTGCCCCGAAGGATGACTATATGGGGCAACATCACTCACCCTGTGAGTGAACATACCTCCATAACACCTCAAAATATAAAAATATACCTGCTGATTTTACTTTACTTATAACTTGTACACAGATGCGGTTGGGATCTGTACTCATTACATATACTGTACTAAATTTGTTTATGACTTTGGACTATCTAATGCAATTATTAGAAACATACAAATTAAATAAATGAATTCAGATCTAGAAGAACTAAAGAAATGCCCAGAGACCTGAAAGCTGCAGTATTAAAAGTTATGGCAAGTTTTGTAATAATAGGTATTTGTATGGTCAGCACAGTAACCGGACTAGACAATGTGATGTAGTCGTTGCGCGAATTCGTCTTGGCTATAGACACATCTGGCAGGTTAGTGAGGCTGAGCCACTACCAGAATACTCAGATTGTAAACTCTGTGATAAACCTTTAATGCATTCACTAGAACACTATATTGTTGAATATGAAACCGTAAAGGATTTTAGACGTGGCCTCTTGTACCACCAACTGTGTAACTATTTTATTGACTCTGGACGACATCCTAACAATTTATCCCAAATTTGCTTGTCCATTTTAAAGAATGAAGAGCAATTTTTATTTATATTACTTCTAAGCTGCATCACTTATGAACCCATCCGTGCCCTTGTGTGGCAATGCACAATAGAAAGTTGTTTTCACATATCCATACATTAAAACATTGATTGTAACCATGATATATATATATATGTGTACTTCCGCCTACAGTTTAGACCTATTGTCTTATGTATGACCCTCTCTGTCCTGCGTGACAGTGAATACCAGCATTATCCTCACTTTAATTAGACTTAATCGAAATCCTCAGATTAGGCAAAATTGTAATTAATTTTGTCAATAAAGATGTTAATAATAATAATAATAACTAAATTTGTTATAAATATCAGAATATTACAATAGTTTATATCACAATAATATACCAATAATATATTAGATAATCTACTTCATATTCACATTACAATTCATAAGTTCTGTTACTGCCCTTAAGAAATTGAGTAGCACACTTTAAATATGTTCACACTTTTTTTTTAAAGGACATACATAGCCTCTCCCGTTTTGTATTCCTGTTTTAGTTACTCCATCCAAGTGTCTGCTAGAAAACGAGTCTAACAGACAAAACTTATTGTTAACTTTTTTTCTCCAGTGAATTTATACATTTACTGTACACGATACAGTACCAAATACAAAGATGTAACTCAAGCTAATCTGTTTAAGGAAAACGTTTCCGTTTCATTTAGTATCTTAAAAATTGTGATCATGTCACCTATGATGACCGAACGTGTGATTTGCAGTATGTATGTCTGCATGTTAAATACAGTATGTGGATTCCTATTACTATTTTGTACACAGTGATCAAATCGCCTCTTTTTCTTCTTGCTTCTAGTTTTTGCATATTTAATGCCTCTAACCTCTAACCGTAGCTCTTGTCCTTCAGTTCTGGGAGCCACTTAGTGGCATGTCTTTGCACCTTTTTCAATTTGTTGATGTGCTTCTTAAGATATGGGCACCATACAACCGCTGTACATTCCAGCTTTGGTCTAACAAAAGTCGTGAACAATTTATTTATTATTTCTCCATCCATATATTTAAAAGCATTTCTGAAGCTAGAAAGTGTAGCATAGGTTCATCGCACAATGTTCTTAATGTGGTCCTCAGATGATAGTTTTCTATCTACAACCACTCCTAGATCTCTTGCTTAATCAGAATTCTTTAAAAATTTCTCACATAATTTATAGGTTGTGTGGGGTCTGGGTGTGTGTGTGTGTGTGTGTGTGTGTTACCAGAAACATTGTAGTCACAAGATATGTATATTTGATACCAAATGTATATTTGATATCACTCGAAGTTAAGCAGATAATAATTTGTGGTCTGGACCGGGGGGGGGAATCAGTGTGGAGCGGAGGGCTCCAGATGTATATAAGGCGATGGCGACTAGTTGTGGACATTATCAACTGTGACTCGCTGACAGCAGGACCCGTGCATCCCCCAAGATGGTCTCCAGAACTGTGAGTGACAGGACCAAATCTTCCATGAAAAATTGATAAATATTTGATGCTGATTTTGTGTTCAGACCAGATGGTGTTCATTACAGGTTTTCGGGATCATATCCTAGTTCAGCTCTGATCAGTACATATTGATTCTTTATTATTATCAGCTATAACACTCTTGATATCTTCACTGACATAATTAACCCAAAACGTTTTAAAGGATATCTGGAATCCTGTCGATATATTTCTTGTTGAAGATATTATCTATAATGTTGCAGGTGATGATGATGGTGTTGGTGGTGGCCGCTGTCCTGGTGGCGGCCCTGGCCGGTCCCGCGGCAGCCCCGGTAGGTCACCCGGGATATCTTGGCTACGGTGGATATGGTGGTTATGGCGGATATGGTGGCTATGGTGGCTTTAGACGTGGATTTGGTGGATATGGTGGATTTGGACGTGGATATGGATTTGGATATGGACGCTGAGACCAAATGTGATCATCTGGGTGTATATTTATATATCTTATAAAACATTTCATGTTTTCCAAAAATGAAAACATTTTATAATAAAATATATTCTGTTTTTACTTCCTGTTTCATTTTAGAATAGAAACATCTGCATTTACATTTGCTCAAATTATTGGTTTGGGCTTTAAGTCTATCAACTTTCGAATAGTTAATAAATCACTACAATAGATTCCTGACCTACCAGCAAATTTTGTTGTTGTTAAAGATTAAGCCATCACAAGAGGTGGTACGGGCATGAATAGCCCGTAGGTGGGACATGTTTGGAGTGAATGTGGTCTTTGGTCGTGTAACATTTTGAAGTGTCTCTGTGTCTCTCTGTACCAGCAAGTACACTTTAGTCCTGAACATAGTCCAGGATGTAACTCTCATTGTACAGAATATATATACGAAAATGAAGGGTACATAGAGAGGCGTACCCTAATCCTCCTGTTTTGGTAGTACTTATAGTAACGATGAGGACCATAGTATATATACCGACGTACAACGAAATTAGAAAGTAGAAATCTGAACTATTGAGTTGGACAAACCGGAAAACTATTTTTTACTTGTGTTGCTTTGACAAACTAAACTAACCTAACCTAACCTTCCTAGGCCTAATACACGATATCTGAGGCCTAATATAGTACATATGTGTGCTATACTAGGCCTAGGAATATTTAAGTTTGTGATTTAGCTTCATTTATTTTAAAAGAATTCCTTACTAGTCAGTATACTACTATCTAAAAGCTAAGTACGTACGAATTCGTGACTATTGACGACCGTCACAATAGGTACTATCTAAACAGGAGGATGGGTTGAACTGCTCATGTGGATTTGTTCATTGATATATTACGGTAATGTGATTTCTCTGTGTATAGAGGTATGTGTTATACGATAAACGTAAGATGTTTACGATAGAGTTATGTTGTATATGATAAATGTATATCGTATATGAAAGAGGCATGTCTGATACGAGAAAGATATGTTGTATTCGATAAAGGAATGTCGTATACCATTAATGTATGTCGTATACGTTAAAGGTATATTGTATACGAGAAAAGTATGTCGTATACAATAGCAGTATGTCTGATATGATAAAGGGATGTCCTATACGATAAAGCTAAGTTGTATAAGTTAAAAGTATATCGCATACGGTACGACTGACATATACGAAAAACGTATTCCATATACGATAAATGTATGCCGAATACGATAAAAGTATATAGGATCATCATATACAAGTAAGTAATGGCGTCTATTTGAGATATATTGCATACAAACTAGTGTTGAAATAAAATATTTAGCATATTTAGACCGAGAGGCGAGACTCTCCGTATATCTACTCTTACGACAGAACCGAACTGTAATGAGGGGACGAAATTGTAACGAAGGCACAAAACTCTACTAAAGTTACGAAACTGTAACGAAGGAACGAAACTGTAACGAAGGAACGAAACTTTAACGAAGGAACGAAACTTTAACGAAGGAATGAAACTGTAACGAAGGAACGAAACTGCAACGGAACAATAACAAAGGAACGAAACTTTAACGAAGGAACGAAACTTTAACGAAGGAATGAAACTTTAACGAAGGAACGAAACTTTAACGAAGGAACGAAACTTTAACAAAGGAACGAAACTTTAACGAAGGAATGAAACATTAACGAAGGAACGAAACTGTAACGAAGGAACGAAACTTTAACGAAGGAACGAAACTTTAACAAAGGAACGAAACTTTAACGAAGGAACGAAACTTTAACAAAGGAACGAAACTTTAACGAAGGAATGAAACATTAACGAAGGAACGAAACTGTAACGAAGGAACGAACCTTTAACGAAGGAACGAAACTTTAACAAAGGAACGAAACTTTAACGAAGGAACGAAACTTTAACAAAGGAACGAAACTTTAACGAAGGAATGAATCATTAACGAAGGAACGAAACTGTAACGAAGGAACGAAACTGTAACGAAGGAATGAAACTTTAGCGAAGAAACGAAATTTTAACGAAGGAACGAAACTGTTACGAAGGAACGAAACTGTAATGAAGGAACGAAACTTTAACGAAGAAACGAAACTTTAATGAAGGAACGAAACTGTTATGAAGGAACGAAACTGTAAGGAAGGAACGAAACTAAAACCAAGGAACGAAACACTGCAATGAAAGAACGAAACTGAAACTAAGGAACAAAACACTGTAAGGTCCCAAAATGTTTCTGGCAAACAGAAAACATTTAGCAAAATGTCTTTATTAACCACTTTTAGCGCCCTATATCCACATGCTAAAATAAACTGATATTGCGTACTCGAGGTAAAGCGACCAGTAATTAGTGTTGGCCAAGGCCTACTGGCAGACTGGGGGACGGGGGTGACGAATGGTGTATATATAAGAGGGAGGCGACGGGTGGTGGACATTGTGGACTGTGACTCCCTGACAAGTGAACACCTTCAGATCCCCAAGATGGTCTCCAGAGCTGTGAGTGACATGATCATGTTGAGAGGCCTGGACTCCTACTGTGTTGAGATCAGCTGGTGCTGATGCTGTTTGAGACCAGCTGATGCTGTGTTGACACCAGGTGGTGCTGATGCTGTGTTGACACCAGGTGGTGCTGATGCTGTGTTGACACCAGGTGGTGCTGATGCTGTGTTGACACCAGGTGGTGCTGATGCTGTGTTGAGATCAGATATATCACTCATAACAACTTTATTGAGCAAATATCCAACCAAAATTATAAACAGCAATTAATATTTACAAAAATATGCTGAGTAAATTGTCTATATGATGTTGCAGGTGATGATGATGGTGTTGGTGGTGGCCGCTGTCCTGGTGGCGGCCCTGGCCGGTCCCGCGGCAGCCCCGGTAGGTCACCCGGGATATCTTGGCTACGGTGGATATGGTGGTTATGGCGGATATGGTGGTTATGGTGGATATCGTGGATTTGGCTTCGGACGCGGGTTTGGATATGGATATGGACGCTGAAGACAAAACTTCGTCATTCTTATGTCTCATATACAAATATTCCAACTATTCTGAAACCTTATTTCATATTTCTGTACTAAAATATACAGTTTACGTTTACCTCCTGTTTCATGTGAAATTGTAATTCCTACCATTTTATATGATATACAAAATAAATATTCCAAAGATACTCTTGTTTACATACACAACAATCAAGATGGATACACATCATCGCTTTCCAAAAGCTACACTGACGATTATGGGAACCGCACTCCTCTAAATAAATAAATGAATACTCTAAACTTATTAAAAAAAAAAAGGATTTTGATTTTATTCAACTCTGCAAATGCAGTTCTCTCGCATGCTATACTTCCTTGAGTTTACCTTGAGATGGGGGTCTGGGCTTAGCTTTCCTGCGGCCCGGTCCTTGACCAGGCCTTCTCGTTACTGGACTGGTCAACCAGGCTGTTGGATGCAGCTGCTCGCAGCCTGACGTATGAGTCACAGCCTGGTTGATCAGGAATACTACGAGCTTATTCCTGCATTGTAGACTAGTTCTAATTCCCGAGGGGGGGTAACCTTCCCACTCCAAAGTCAGCTAGACTACCCTATCACTGCTTTCTGGAACCATCCATGTGGTCTCATGAAATATTTATGCCAGATCTATAATGAATAATCTCTGCAACAGACCTAGTTTGTTACAATTTTGTGCATGATGCTTTACGTATACTCCAGTTACTTCAGATATAGCTACTGTATATATGCTGTGTCGTGTATGCTCCTGCTGTAGTATACTCTGCAATAATAACTTTACTGAAACTCACTTCATTAGCCACACTCTCACTGAGTTCTGAACGCGATGTTTCTCCTCAGTTGATGTATTGATCTCATTAATTCTGGGACGAAAAATAAAGCTATAAGCTGGAAAATCGAGCTATAATAGGGAGGGGGGTAGTGGGTTGGGGTTGGGGTTGGTCAAACGAAGTGGTGCCTGATCCTTGTAGCGTTTAATGTTTATAATGACCACCTGTACCGCCTACGGGACGGGTATAGGGTGCATAATAAATGACTACACTAACTACCAGCTGCTGGGGGTGACGTCTTAACGAGGAACCACGTGACATGACCACATCATGTGTTACATGTAAACATTGCGGCAGCCAGGGGGGGGGGGCACACTGTCGCTGTCTCCATGTAAAGTCACAAGCGTCAGATGTGAAAACTGAGCTGAATTGGCGGTTCGAGCATTGTGTTACAACACAACAATGAAATAACTTGTACACCTTCTCGATCATACTCATGAAGAACGAGACTGAAAAATGTCGCTATATCGGCAGTAAGCTAGTAGGCAATGATTGAGGCGGGAGGCCTGAATGAACGAAGGGACGTGGCTGGACGCTGCAGGCTAGTATGAACGAAGGGGCATGGCTGGAGACTTGAGACCTGTAGGAACGAAGGGACATGACTGGAAGCTGGAGACCAAAGAAGGGACGTGGCTGGAAGCTTGAGACTCAGGTGAGCCACAGAGATGATAGTGACGAGCAAAAGGGATGAACTACATGTAGGTGGTAAAATGATCAACGTGATCGTCAGTTTCAAATGTTAATACAAGAAGAAAAGAAAGAACGGTCGTCATTATAACATACTACATACTCTGGTGAGACCCACTAGATGCTCGCATCGAAATTACATATGGGAAATTTTACCCACCATATCAATATTATTATCTAAGAAATGTATAATTTCTTTATCATATCAGAATCACTACAGATTCATTATACATCTTGATCCTAGATGACAATGCCACTATGATCACGTACACCATAGGGGCCCTATAGGTGCCTACGTGACATTGTGCATGATCTCTCAAGGATCCAAAAGCTTCTAGAAGGATTTCTTAATTGAAAAACTATTGGAACATTAATCAATATCCGGTAGGGAATATAAATCGAATCCTTAATAACAATCGGTAGTACTATCAAGTACTACTTATAATCTTTAAATCCTGTATCTAATTATATTATAATCACATCTTATTTCAATCATATGTCTAGACAGTAAGAATAATCAATCAATATTCATTGAAAGCTACCCCTCTCAAAGGAGAGGGAGGAGCCAACGGGGGACAAAGTGAGCTACAGGAGCGCCCCTGGGCAGAACACGTTTGTTGACAAAACAGCGAAAACGTACCACGGTGCCTTGCAGACATTACTTAGCTCAGGACACCTTATCGAATTATCTTTATCACCAGCGATTACTCTCTAGAACTGGGAGAGTACCTGGACAATATCTACAAGGAAAATTCCTGGAACATTTATATCTAAATAAGTGAAGAGTGGAGCACATAGTGACACTGTCTCCACCTCCATCTTCATCAACTATCATCCTTCTGCAACTGCAGTTAAGGAAATTCACGTAGCAATGCTACTAGATCATCATACAGCAAAGCTGTGATATAAAATATCATGCCTAACTTAACAAGAGAGAGTTATCTAGTCTGGCACACTGTCAGACAGGCACCCGGCAGTCAGAGAAGTATATTGAAGGTTATTTAGTATATTAATTGGCCAATTGTATGCTTGTATGACTTTAATATCTAATAAGTCTGTCTGTCGGTTATAGAGCGAGGCAACACCTCATATTTCAGTAAGTTTATTAATATTGTAGTGCAGAAGTTGAATCTTCTCTAAGCACAAAACTTCATGAGTGTCCCATGTGTGGGAAAAGATTCAGTCAAGATAAATAAAACTTCATGAGTGTCCATTGTGTGGGAAAAGATTCAATCAGGCTGACTGAACCTCTTAACAAGTTAACAATTGCTTGCTTAGTTATCTGTAATTTATTATATAAGTTCATTTAATGGAATATACTTTCTAGTACTTAGTTAACAGTACTTAGACTACATTTAAGGTCATTTATCATACTTCTACAATTTAAATTGTTGTTTATAGTATAAGAATATATTGGCTGTTAATAGTTATGGTGCTAGGCTAGACTGTGCACTTGTTTGAATCTGATTTAAACAGAACCAGTCTTCAGTCATAGAATTGAATATATTAAATCTTATCCTTATATGAAATTATACAAGTTAATGTGAGATACTTGTCTGCAGGTGGACAGTGGATCTTCAGTCAACCTATCAACTAATTCATTCATCCCACCTGCCCCTTACAGCCCACAATCTGTCATTAGGAAAAGAGGAGCTAGGATTTACGACCTTAGCTAGACACTTTAGTTGAATTAATTTGCAGACAGTAATTTTTAATTTAGTTCAGTACAAGTCCCTGGTAGTTCTCCTCTCATATCAATCCCAGCAGGTTTTCCCCACATTACATATGTAAGAGAAAACACACACAAAGACTTCGACTCTGTTGTATGTGTGTATTCTCACATATATATGTACGCACTTACACGCTCTTGCGGGAATTATCTTCAACTACTGTGCTTAAACTCCTAGTTCTGCGATAATCAAGTACTGCATAATCAAGGTGATTAGCTCCTAATACCTGCAATAATCAAAATGAGTACTGCAGGTACATTGGTGAAAGCGAACAATGATAAACTTTGTCGTAATATAAATGTGCAAGAGAAAGTCATATGGTGAGTGAGAGAGAACGGTCTGGTGGACCACTATGTTTTTACAAGACATAAACTACTGTTCACCCGAGGTGGTGAATAATTAGCTGTTGATGGCTGAAGGTCATCAATAGCGGTATATAAGGTGGAGACGGCGGATGGTGGACATTAAGTACTGGTTCCTTGACTAGTAAACACTTCCAGACTTTCAAGATGTTTTCCAGAGCTGTAAGTAACTGGGCTGCTCTTGTAAGAAAAAGGATAAACAGATTATTGTTCTCGAAATTCAGAACCACTCTCGTTGAGAGTGGTGGGAAACGGTTGCTGGTACTTTCGTTAAAAAGAATCATCCTTGATAAAGGGCTGGATTCAGTTACAGTTACTGGTGGGGAGGCGGAGTGGTTATAGTACCTGGTTGCATTACCGAATTCGAATCTACTAGGTGTGGAGCGAGTGGTTTCCAAATTCGTTTCAATATGATTTCCGGGAAAATAGCCGTGTCTAACTTGCTTGTCGACTAATGGTTCTAATGCTTTGTTGACACCAGCTGATGTTTTAATGTGTTAAAATCTCTTAATGATAATCATTTTATTAAAATTAAATCATGTTGTGTAGTTATATTTCTGCATTTTATTCATAATATTAAATCAATACATTGAAAGGAAAGCATAATAAAATTTGGTATCCAAAATGCCTGACAGATATTTAGCATATTAAATTAACAAGAATGTTTTGTGTTGCAGGTGATGATGATGGTGTTGGTGGTGGCCGCTGTCCTGGTGGCGGCCCTGGCCGGTCCCGTGGCAGCCCCAGTAGGCAACCCCGGATTTCTTGGAGGATACGGTGGATATGGTGGATATGGAGGATATGGTGGCTATGGAGGATATGGTGGATATGGTGGCTACGGTAGATATGGTGGCTTTGGACGCGGATTTGGATTCGGATTCGGCCGCTGAGATTAAACACAGGCAGGTTGGTTGAGTCTTGACTCTGCTCATTACAAAAAATAAAAAAACATATATATATATATATATATATATATATATATATATATATATATATATATATATATATATATATATATATATGTCGTACCTAGTAGCCAGAACTCACTTCTCAGCCTACTATTCAAGGCCCGATTTGCCTAATAAGCCAAGTTTTCCTGAATTAATATATTTACTATAATTTTTTTCTTATTAAATGATAAAGCAACCCTTTTCTCTATGTATGAGGTAAATTTTTTGTTATTGGAGTTAAAATTAACGTAGATATATGACCGAACCTAACCAACCCTACCTAACCTAACCTAACCTATATTTATAGGTAAGGTTAGGTTAGGTAGCCAAAAAAAGCTAGGTTAGGTTAGGTTAGGTAGGTTAGGTAGACGAAAAAACATTAATTCATGAAAACTTGGCTTATTAGGCAAATCGGGCCTTGAATAGTAGGCTGAGAAGTGAGTTCTGGCTATTAGGTACGACATATATATATATATATATATATATATATATATATATATATATATGCAAACAATTTGCACAACTTTCACTTATTAACTTGAACACTTTTGAATACTTTGGGTAAAGATATGATCGTCAGTATATGAAGCCATCTTCCATTCATTTCTTATATAAATATTTTAGCTAATATGGTTAGATATTAATGGTAGATTTTTGTTTTCCAGAGTTGTGCTGTTATGCTCCCGGGACCCTTCCAACCAGCAGTACATAATTATTTTTTAATAAATATTTTAATATAATTTTGTTTCATTCATCATATCTGCGTAACATTTTAGGTCCCAGAAATAACGAATATATGAGCTCTATTTTGAATAACATTCTAAATGCTTAATAAATCTTCTATATTCAAAATTAGAATATATTCTAATTAAATTAATAAACATTTTAATGGAGTGTTAAATTAATAACACTACCTCAATGTCGTAGTGTTTGAACGAAGGTGAAGGCCCAATGTATGTATAAATTAATTTAAAACCAAATTTTCGGATGTAACTAACATCTTTTCTCAAGGTGATGTTGTAATGGTTTGTTGCACAGACCAAGCTTCTCCCTTTCACCCTCTCCTCTTTCTCCCCTCTCCCTGTCTCCCCTTTCCTCTTGCCTTCGTTGGTCTTCCCCTCCCTTGTTCATCCCTCCCCTTATTTCTTTCCATCTCCCCTCCCATTTGTCACAGTCCGGCCCTCACCGGTCATAAACCATAAAGTCAAGAGACCCTGGAGGATGGAGAGTCCCTCTTTGGGCCTTCTCTGTGCCCACTCCATTCCCACTCTTTCTCCTCTCCCTTGTCTTCCTATAGCCATTGACAAATTTGAGGAGCAGTAAAACTCAGCCGGTGTCATGTTCATACTCCCTGCCCTGGGTTTCCCTGGAATGAGAGCGTGGGAACGATAGGCCTCCCTGGGGTTGTCAAAGGAAATTGTAGTCAGTGTGTCTTGGGCTTGACTGGGGTACAGAGCTATGACCTGGAGCGCTGCCATTCAACATCTGGGGCGGGTTTTCCAGGATAAGGTAAAGTTTGTCTGAATTTTGGTATATCAAAGTAATTGCACTCCGATTATATTTGCCTCTTAGGGATAAATTTAGAGTAGGATATTTTTCAGTTTGATATAAATATATGTGTCTTTGTTAAATAAAGTGATTATTAATGTATTTTGTGGTTTGGTTATCTGTTCCCCTTTTTATTATTAATGTCGAGTCTTTTTATATGTACTCACCTAATTGTACTCACCAAATTGTATTTGCGGGGGGTTGAGCTTTCTCTCTTTGGTCCCGCCTTTCAACTGTCAATCAACTGGTGTACAGATTCCTGAGCCTACTGGGCTCTATCATATCTACATTTGAAACTGTGTATGGAGTCAGCCTCCACCACATCACTTCCTAGTGCATTCCATTTATTAACTACTCTGACACTGAAAAAATTCTTTCTAACGTCTCTGTGGCTCATCTAGGTACTAAGTTTCCAAATGTGTCCTGAATATGTGGTATTCTCGTGTGATATTGGAAGCCCCTATATTCTCACTAAGTAAAGTTTTATATAATTTATTCCCCCAAACATTATTTACCAAGGCTCCTATGCCCCTGAGTTCATCATTATTGATTTCTGTCCTTCCTGGGAGATCAGTAATAGACACATTCAGAGGTCAGAAAGGTGGTGGCAGTTGTGTAATTTTAAGTTGTATTCATTATTAAAATTCAATAAACCCTTCATCTGTTACTCCCCCTTCATTTAATATTTCAGTTTTAATATTAGCTGGTAGTTCATTGAGGGTCACAGTGATCTTGCAGCGGTGTTGAGTGGAGAAGGGGAGCGTTTAATGTTTATAATGACACCTGCACCGCCCACGGGACGGGTATAGGGTGGATAATAAATTACTACACTAACTACCAGCTGCTGGGGGTGACGTCTTAACGAGGAACCACGTGACGCTGCACGTGACATGACCCCGCCATGTGTTACATGTAAACATTGCGGCAGCCAGGGGGACATACTGTAACTGTCTCCATGAAAAGTCAGGAACCTCAGATGTGAAAACTGAGCTGAAGCGGCGGTTCGAGAGTTGTGTTACAACACAAGAATGAGCAAACTTGCACACCTTCTCGGTCATGTTAATGAAGAACGAGACTTTGAAAAATGTAGATATATCGGCAGTAAGGTAGTAGGCAATAATTGAGGCGGGAGGCCTATAGGAATGAAGGAGCGTGGCTGGAAGCTGGAGACCTGTATGAACGAAGGAGCATGGCTGGAAGCTGGAGACCTGAATGAACGAAGGAGCATGGCTGGAAGCTGGAGACCTGAATGAACGAAGGAGCATGGCTGGAAGCTGGAGACCTGAATGAACGAAGGGGCATGGCTGGAAGCTGGAGACCTGAATGAACGAAGGGGCATGGCTGGAAGCTGGAGACCTGTATGAACGAAGGAGCATGGCTGGAAGGTGGAGACCTGTATGAACGAAGGGGCATGGCTGGAAGCTGGAGACCTGAATGAACGAAGGGGCATGGCTGGAAGCTGGAGACCTGAATGAACGAAGGGGCATGGCTGGAAGCTGGAGGCCATTATGAACGAAGGGGCATGGCTGGAAGCTGGAGGCCATTATGAACGAAGGGGCATGGCTGGAAGCTGAAGACCTGAATGAACGAAGGGGCATGGCTGGAAGCTGAAGACCTGTATGAACGAAGGGGCATGGCTGGAAGCTGGAGACCTGTATGAACGAAGGAGCATGGCTGGAAGCTGGAGACCTGAATGAACGAAGGAGCATGGCTGGAAGGTGGAGACCTGTATGAACGAAGGGGCATGGCTGGAAGCTGGAGACCTGAATGAACGAAGGGGCATGGCTGGAAGCTGGAGACCTGAATGAACGAAGGGGCATGGCTGGAAGCTGGAGGCCATTATGAACGAAGGGGCATGGCTGGAAGCTGGAGACCTGTATGAACGAAGGAGCATGGCTGGAAGCTGGAGACCTGAATGAACGAAGGAGCATGGCTGGAAGCTGAAGACCTGTATGAACGAAGGGGCATGGCTGGAAGCTGGAGACCTGTATGAACGAAGGGGCATGGCTGGAAGCTGGAGACCTGAATGAACGAAGGGGCATGGCTGGAAGCTGAAGACCTGAATGAACGAAGGGGTATGGCTGGAAGTTGGAGACTCAGATGAGCCACAGAGGTGAAAGCGGCGAGCAAAAGGCATGAACTACATTGGTGGTAAAATGACCAAGGCGATCGTCAGTTTCAAGTGTTGATACAAGAAGAAAGGAAACAACGGTAGTTCTTTCAAGCTAAGATGGCTATTACCCTGACGATAACATACCCTGGTGAGACCCACTAGACGCTCGCATCGAACTTACATATGTAAGAGAAAACACACACAAAGACTTCGACTCTGTTGTATGTGTGTATTCTCACATACATGTATTCACTTACACGCTCTTGCGGGAATTATCTTCAGCTACTGTACTTAAACTCCTAATTCTGCAATTATCAAGTACTGCATAATCAAAGTGATTAACTCCTAATACCTGCAATAATCAAGGTGAGTACTGCAGGTACATAGGTGAAAGTGAACAATGATTAACTTTATCATTATATAAATCTGCAAGAGAAAGTCATATGGTGAGTGAGAGAGAACGGTCTGGTGGACCGCTATGTTTTTACAAGACATCACTACTGTTCACCCGAGGTGGTGAATAATTAGCTGTTGGTAGCTCAAGGTCATCAGTAGCGGTATATAAGGTGGAGACGGCGGATGGTGGACATTAAGTACTGGTTCCTTGACTGGTAAACACTTCCAGACTCTCAAGATGTTTTCCAGAGCTGTAAGTAACTGGGCTGCTCCTGTAAGAAAAAGGATAAACAGGTTATTGTTCTCGAAATTCAGAACCACTCTCGTTGAGAGTGCTGGGAAACGGTTGCTGGTACTTTCGTTAAAAAGAATCATCCTTGATGGGGGGCTGGACTCTAACAGTTACTGGTGGAAGAAGTAACCACTCCGGAATAATTTTCCGGAGTGGTTATTGTACCTGATTGCATTACCGAATTCGAATCTATTGGGAGTGGAGCGAGAGTTTCAAATTCGTCTTAATATGATTTCCGGAAAATAGCCGTGTCCAACTTGCTTGTCGACTAGTGGTTCTAATGCTATGTTGACACCAGCTGATGTTTTAATGTGTTAAAATCACTTAATGATAATCATTTTATTAAAATTAAATCATGTTGAGTCGTTATATTTCTGCATTTGATTCATAGTATTAAATCAATACATTGAAAGGAAAGCATAATAATATTTGGTATCCAAAATTACTGACATATTTTGCATATTAAGTTAACAAGAATGTTTTGTGTTGCAGGTGATGATGATGGTGTTGGTGGTGGCCGCTGTCCTGGTGGCGGCCCTGGCCGGTCCCGTGGCAGCCCCAGTAGGCAACCCCGGATTTCTAGGAGGATACGGAGGATATGGTGGATATGGAGGATATGGTGGCTATGGAGGATATGGTGGATATGGTGGCTACGGTAGATATGGTGGCTTTGGAGGCTTTGGACGCGGATTTGGATTCGGATTCGGCCGCTGAGGTTAAACTAGAGCAGGTTGGTTGAGTCTTCACTCTGCTCATTGCAAAAATACAAAAAACTTATATGTATGCAAACAAATTGCACAACTTTCAGTTATTCCCTTGAATACTTTGGGTAAAGATATTGTTGTCAGTATATCAAACCATCTTCCATTCATTTCATATTTATAAATATTTAACTAATATGGTTAGACATTAATGGTAGATTTTTTGTTTTCCAGAGTTGTGCTGTTATGCTCCCGGGACCCTTCCAACCAGCAGTACATAATTATTTTTTAATAAATATTTTAATATAATTTTGTTTCATTCATCATTTCTGCGAAACATTTTAGTTCCCAGAAATAACGAATATATGAGCTCTATTTTGAATAACATTCTAAATGCTTAATAAATCTTCTATATTCAAAATTAGAAAATATATTCTAATTAAATTAATAAACATTTTTATGGAGAAACCTCCCACAATGTCGTAGTGTTTGAATGAAGGTGAAGGAAAGACCCAAGGTATGTCTAAATGAATTAAAGAACAAATTTTCGGATGTAACCATCATCTTTTCTCAAGATGTATACAATGAGTACATATACAATGAAAACATTGTATACAGCACCTTGAAAAGGGTTGTTAGGTTACATCCGGAAGTTTGGTTTTTAATACACTTAAAACATATATTGGGTCTTTCCTTTAAACATTTTAATAATAAAAGCTGCCAAAATAAATATTTTGACTTGAATGTTAATTAAGGATGTTAATGAGATAACATTGGTGTTATATTAATTTTTATTGATTTTTAAATTAAACGAAAAAGTATACTATTTTATTATAAAAACTTAAAATATTTTTCAATCAATATCATTTGTAAATGGATATTTTAATTATAATTAATTATAGTTAAAATTGCCGGAAAAAACAATTAAACTATTTAATAATATAAGTTTAAAATATTCTCCCAATAATAATATTTACTAAGTCTGCTTGCGCAGAGTTAGCGTTTTGAAAATCAAAACATAATTTTCACCAGTGAAATTTGCTGACATTTAATAAATTTTCATTATTTACTTCCATCTCCAGTTACTATTCCTTCAATTCTCACACCCACTACAACATTCAAATTTAAAACTAACTTAGCCGTCTATTTTAATGACATTTGAATAAAAAACATGCAAAAATATAACATACACTTGCTAGTCATCCTGTTGATTCTGCTACATGCAGTTGAGAGAATCAATCGTGAGTTATGGGTGCGGCATATAGTTGAGGGTGAGGCATAGTTGTGGGCGAGGTTGAGTAAATTACAGGGTTGTAATTTGGTTGCTTTAGTTGTCTCACTGTTTCTCGGTGTGTATACAATAGGGAGGTTACTTTAGTTCTGGAATATGTGTAGGACTAAAGTATACTTACTTCAGATTTAGAAGAACTAAGAAATACCCAGAGACCTGAAAGCTGCAGTATTAAAAACTATGACAACTTTTGTAATAATAGGTATTTGTATGGTCAGCACAGTAACCGGACCAGGCAATGTGATGTAGTCATTGCGCGAATTCGCCTTAGCTATAGGCACATCTGGCAGGTTAGTGAGACTGAGTCATTACCAGAATATTCAGATTGCTAACTCTGTGACAAACCTTTAATGCATTCACTAGAACACTATATGTGAAATGTGAATGTGAAACTGTGAAAGATTTTATACCTCCAGTCCTATTGTACCACCAACTGTGTAACTATTTCCTTGAATCTAGTGTACTGGACGACATCCTAACACTTTATCCAAAATTTGCTTTTCCATTTTAAAAATGAAGAACAATTTTATTTTATTTATACTATTTTTAAGCTGCATCATTTACGAACCCATCCCTCTCCTTGTGTGGCAGTGCACAATAGAAATTCGAATTTACATATTCGTACATTGAAACGTGTATACAGTCTAATGAAGTTGATTGTAACCATGATATATATGTGCTTCAGCTTACAGTTTAGACCAGTTTAGTCTTGTGTATTATTAAATTTGATACAGAAGTAATAATACAGCTGATTCCATCTATTGGTAGAAAAGCACACTAACAAAACAGGCCAAGGCAACAGCAGCCATAAAAGACAGCATGGGCCATCTATTGGCATAATATTGCACTATCAGCTTGCCAACAGCAACTTGCATTTTATTGGTGGAATTTTTTTGTTGACATTCACCGCAACAGCCAATCATAGGAAGGGACCAACTGAAAGCTCTACCCATTAAATACTATCATGGGTGTTCATCACACCAGCCCTGCTTATGACAATTTTTTCCGACTCAAATCTACCCAAAGTGACCTTTTCAACCATTTGAAATTGATAATTAAGTGAAAACGAAATATTGTAGGATATAACCACTGTCTATACAAATATGGCTTGGATACTTAACTGTGAGGTAATCAGTTGGTGAACTTTGTGCTAAATTCTGCGCCTCTTTCAGTCGAGTTTCATCGGGACAAATTTTCCCTGGCCAGAAAGAGGCTGCAGCGAACACTCGTGATCTATCTTCCCGCCTGGTAATAACTCTTACGCTGTGACATGCGTCGATTGATGTATAGCAGTAAATTGATATTTTAATTATAATTAATTATGATTAAAATTGCCGGAAAAACAGTTAAACTATTTAATAATATAAACTTAAAATATTCTCAAATACTACAATGCTTTGTATTCTCATAAACCCAATGTACCTTCTTATATATATATATATATATATATATATATATATATATATATATATATATATATATATATATATATATATATATATATACTGTGTATATATATATATATATATATATATATATATATATATATATATATATATATATATATATATATATATATATATATATATATATATATATATATATATATATATATATATATATATATATATATATATATATATATATATATATATATATATATATATCGTCAAATAAGGAATTAGAATATAAAAATATTTAAGTTTTGAAATTTTTAAAACAAACAATGAAAAAGCTAATATTTCCATTTGGAAAGATGGGAAACCTTATTATCAGACATAAAGCGTCTATTTGATACACATGTGATTGTTATGCAATCTCTTCTAATAAAATTATCAGAAAGACGAAATCTATGCAAACTCGCCGTGCAACTAAAGGTACTAGTTTCCTAATAAAGTAAAACAATGTCCAACATGCAATTTATTCAAAAGTAGAACAATGAAGTATCAAATTTCGTCACTATAGTACCTCATCTTTAGGTACAATCTCACCTAGCATTTTACTAGGCATTCAGGCATTGTATGTACTGGCTCTATCTAGAAATCCAACATTATGTTTGTAACTCATTTCCAATGTAAGTACCTCTACCTGAATAAACATCTTACTATCTAGAAATTCAACTACATCAATATAATTTATTTTGCCCCTATATATTATTATGATATCACGCCATTGTAATTTAGCAGTATGTATTATTATAGTAATTATATGAGTTCGAAGTCTATTATTATACAGCCGTTATTAAATTATTTTTTTTGCGTAAAGATTGTTTATCCTAATTTATATTCTTTGCAAATTCCGAGTTCGGACCTGCCCTGAACGCTTGCATGATAGTGGCTTTGCAAAAGTGTACTACTTAATAACAAAATATGTAGTTTCGCACAACTCTTTACATCAACTAATAAATAAGTAAAAATAGTGAATGTCTTGAGAAAGTCTTCTCTTTCTCCCTTTAGGCATCCCTAAAAATACTGCGTTTTCTTCGACATAGACAAATAATGAAATTTTAAAAGAAAACGATCTAAATTATAGGTACAACGCTCAATATTGGAATTAAATTAACAAAGTTTTCTACGGGCTCACCATAGCCCGTGCTACTTGGAACGTTTTGTTCCAGATAGCGAATCTAAAACAACAACAACAACAAAGTTTTTAATACAAAATAATGTGCAGAATCAAATTTTAAATAAATATTCAACTTTTGCTTTTTATTTCTTTGCAAAAAGATAAAGTATAATAAACTTTTATAACTGTTTTAAATGTTTATACAACATTGTTAATATTTTACTATAAGTAGACGAGCTCTTTGTTAATTATTGCTCCTTATCCATTAAGTAACGTTTATTCAGTTAATGTGTACATTGAAAGGTATATTTAATTTTTCGTTATAGGTATACTGAATATGTAGTCCTGAACTACAGTATATTTGCTGGTTATTCAGTAAGCAACATGGTAGCTTTTAATGACCCAAATAAGTTTATCTACACCGTTGAAGCGCTATATATGTAAGTGAATCCTGGTTCTAGGCGTACATATACTAAAGTATTCGTGGTGGTTCGTCAGTACGCAACTGTTGTGGTCTAAATCTCCACGTTAAATCAGAAGCACATTCTTAAACACGTGTGCTTTAATTATCTCAATATATAATAGCACTTTAGACTTTACATAATTCTACGTCCGAGTATTGAGAGTCAGTCTTGACTAGAGCATTCTATCTGGTAGGACTTTTTTGTTAAAAATTACGGTAATAACCCCTCCAGACGTAGATTATCTTTAATCCCAACACCAAACCAGATTGTAAATAATTTAGCAGTTGTGCTAGTTATGTATCTTCACTGATTAATATGCTGCGACGTTTCGTGGACGGTAGAGTGCATGAATGCATGCTTGAAACCCAGATGAACGAAAGGGGTAGGGATTGTAGGTGGACCCAGATGAGCCAGAGAGCATGGATGAAAGCTCGAGACCATATGAAGGAAGTGACAAGGATGGAAGAGGAAGACTCAGATGAACCAAAGATATGTTTTTCTTTTGCGTGAGAGTGACGAGCATGAGAAATCAACAAGCAGGTATGATGACCAAGGCCATCACCAATATCGAATATAAATACGAGAGAAGTAAGAGTGAGATATGTGTTTGCTCAACTGTATGTACTAATATATATCCTTGCGGTGACTGAGCTTCACCAGCTGGACTCCCTAATAATGAAGTGTGAGTGAGTGCTGCAGATGAGTCGGTAAAAGTATACCGTGGTGAAAGAGAGAACGGTCTTGTGGATCGACAAGTTTTTACAAGGGATAAACCACTCTTCACCCGAGGTGATGAGGCCAGTACTTAGTTCTCAGTGGCTGAAGGTCATCAGTGAACTTTAGGTTGGTGGCGGTATATAAGGTGGTGGATACAAAGAGGTGAACATTGTGCACTGTGACTCCCAGAACAGTAAACACCTGCCAGCTTACAAGATGGTCTCCAGAGCTGTAAGTAACAGAACTGCTCCTAGCTTCAGAACTACTCTTGGTGAGGGGGACTGTCAAACAGTTATTGTTACCGAGGGAAACAGAATCGTCGCTGTTGCGAGTACAGACTAATATTTACTGAGTGTCTGACTTATAGAACTATTCTGAATTTCAGGACAGTCGAACAGTCAAGCAGTAACTGGTCCAGCGACAGAGAGGTTATTGTATCTGGTTGGCGAGATGGTTTCTATAAAATTGCCATATCCAACCTCTAATTGTGAACAAAGTGGTTTTAATGCTGTGTTGAGACTACCTTATCGGTTAAAATCACTTAAAGTTAACTTTATTAAAATCAAATCACGATTCATTTTATTTCTGCAGTTTCATTTGATTCATATTAATCAAAACATTGAAAGGTAAGCATAATAATATTTGGTATCCAAAATTGGCTGATATTTAGCATATTAAATTAACAAGAATGGTTTGTGTTACAGGCGATGATGGTGGTGTTGGTGGTGGCCGCTGTCTTGGGGGCAGCCCTGGCCGGTCCCGTGGCAGCCCCGGTAGGCAACCCCGGATTTCTTGGAGGCTACGGAGGATATGGTGGATATGGTGGCTATGGTGGATATGGTGGGTATGGAGGATACGGTGGATATGGGGGCTACGGTGGATATGGCGGCTATGGTGGCTTTGGACGCGGATTCGGGTTCGGATTTGGCCGCTGAAGTTAAATTGTATCAGGTAGGTTGACTCTTGTGTGTGCTCATATAAAAAGAAAATAATACACATATCTCCGTGTAAACAATTTGCATAACTTTAATTTATTATATTGAACACGTTTGAATACATCTGGTAAAGTAATTGTTGACAATATATCAAAAGTCCTCTTCCATCTGTGCTCATGTTCATGTACGCTGTATGTAATCCAATATCGAATCTTTCTTTGCCAGAGATGAGCTGTCATAACTGCACGATCTTTGTGAGCAACCGCAATAGACACAGGTCCATATGAATAAAAGAAACTGCAGGAGGCCTTTTGGACCATACGATGAGGCTCCTATTTTATCAACCCAGACTCATTCATATAGTTTACCCGATTTTACCCGAGTTTATGTGTAATCTGCTCTTTAAACAAACCTGCGATCCGACCTTTGTTATGTTGTTCCGTTAATTTGTTCCATAAATTAACTACCCTATTCCTAAACTAGTTTTTAACCTATTTCTAAACCATTATTTGTTAATAAATACATGAATACATCTTTATTTCATTCACCGTTTCTGAGTAATATCTTAAATCTCAACGGGTTCACGTTGGCCATTGGAATACAGCCTGTGTGCGGGTTCACTGTGCATCTAGTGGAAAACACACTTAATGAACCTAACTCGGTAGCTTTCTGACATGGAAGAGATGTGGCTGATCTGTTTATATTCTACAAAGTCCACGAGATGAACACTTGTCACATAGCCTCTCTACAGCTAATTTCCTCGTAAATGAACTACCAGAACATTTGGAGTAACATGTGACTATACAGGTACGCTGAATACTGGCTTAGATCATGGCTTACCATTATCTAAGCCAGCATTCTCAGAGATTAGGACTAATTGTTTGAGGGAGATAAGTTCACTTTGTATGTGTTTTCTTATTATAAGTAGTGTTATTTGTTATTTTTACATTGTAGTAAGCAACGATATTTAATAAGTTTCTTTTGCAAATTAGTTTAAATTTATGACTTGAGTATTATAAATTTTATGTATTCGAGACTTTGTGGAAACTAATTGAAAATACAGATGATGTTTGTCACATCAATTGTTTTTTTTATCAAGAAGTTCATTATATATATATATATATATATATATATATATATATATATATATATATATATATATATATATATATATATATATATATATATATATATATATATATATGTCGTACCTAGTAGCCAGAACGTCGTACTCGGCCTGCTTTGCAAGGCCCGATTTGCCTAATAAGCCAAGTTTTCCTGAATTAATATATTTTTCTCTAATTTTTTTCTTATGAAATGATAAAGCTACCCATTTCATTATGTATGAGGTCAAATTTTTTTTATTGGAGTTAAAATTAACGTAGATATATGACCAAACCTAACCAACCCTACCTAACCTATCTTTATAGGTTAGGTTAGGTAGTCGAAAAACAATTAATTCATGAAAACTAGGCTTATTAGGCAAATCGGGCCTTGCATAGTATGCTGAGAAGTGCGTTCTGGCTACTAGGTACGATATATGTATATATATATGTATATATATATATATATATATATATATATATATATATATATATATATATATATATATATATATATATATATATATATATATATATATATATATATATATATATATATATATATATATATATATATAATGATACCTATAAAAAAAAGATGGTAGACCAAATGGAGTGGTCACAATTTTATTGAATACCACAATTTTCAATAAAACAGGTTCCTCAGTGTCCGGACATGAAGCGGTTCAAGTTCCCCTTCTAAGGAGTGTGTCTGAGAGTCATCAACACTCGAAGCTTAATAACCATATCCTTCCTAAGGCAGACTTTTGCTAACAATCACTTGCGAGAAAGCCACTCTACCACTGACCTATTCACAAAACCTTTGCGTTCTTTAGAAGCTTAGTCATTTGTGAGAAAATTGAGCCAGTCTTCACACATTTATTTACTTAAGTAAAAATTAAGTCGGTTTAAATGACAACTCAAATAGTAATTATTGACAGATCAAATTATGATAAATTACTGGAGTAGGTAGTTCATTTGTTGATTTCAAATGGGAAATATCTTTATTACTTTGATTAAAATATCTTAAAAAACCAGAGTTAATTACACTAAACAAATTAAATATAATAGTGGTTTTAGATTCAGCTACTCTGAACAAACGTTCAAAGTAGCACCGGCTATGGTGAGCCCGCAGTGGACTTATTAAGACAATTAATTTCCTTTAAACTAAACTACTACAGCAATTTATATTAAGAATGTCGCATAAATGTTAATAAACGTAAATAAATTTTTAATAAACAGAGAACCGAGCGTCTTGTAGGGATTGATATTATATTAATTGTACTAACAATATATATATATTCACGTGTTTATATTTACTTTTAGTTTTGTCTACGTTAATTTCTCTATTTTCTTATTTTTGTTGCAAAAGCAACAATATTGTTTAATAACTAGTCCAGATAAGTTACTCCTTATCTAAAGTCTTTTTTTCTCATAAGTACTCATCACTTCGTTATATCAAATACTCATTATTTCTTTGTGAAGACGACTTAATATGTGAACTCTTTGTTAAGTATAAATTTTTCAGTGTATAAGTTTTGCAACGTGAAAATTATATTATTTATTATTGGTTATATATGTAAATTGTTAATAAAATGTATTTATATGTTCAAGTTATATTATTTATTACTTTGAAATTCTACATTTTTTCTATATTTTAAGCAAAATTTACAGGATGACAAAAAACATGGAAATTCTCTTAAATTATTTATTTGAAAGTATTAATCGAATACAAAATATTTTTTTATAATGCAACTGCCTGCGATGTGGACACAACCGGTTGTGTAGATCTGTGGAAATATATTATATGAAAACAATGTTATCATACATTTTTTCTACAATACTGTCACCGAAATGTTTTAGCTAGATTCTTAACACAGGCGTTCAAACATACACGAACACTATAAACACACACAAACGCACATAAATACACAATGCAAACATGCACGTACATAATAAAGAATCATTTAATAAACACACGTACTCAACAAACAGAAACACGCAAAAACAAACACACAAGCACACTACATATACACGCATACAACAAACACATTCGTTCACATCATTGTATACGCTGGCCCAGACTCTGGAATTAAAATAACTGGCACAAATGGCTAAATATTTGTTCAAACATTTTATAGGTAACTGTAAACAAAATATGAGATTTTCAAACATCAACAACTTACTCGACCCGGCTGAGCCTCAGTGGCCGTATCCACGTCCATATCCGTATCCACCACCGTATCCTCCTGCATACCCATATCCGCCGTAGCCACCATGTCCACCTAATCGTCCATATGGACCTCCATATCCACCAAAACTGCTGCCATATCCCCCTCGATATCTGCCCAAGCCACCGTATCCACCAAATCGGCCATAACCGCTGCTATAACCACCATATCCGCCGTAGCCACCATATCCAGAGCTACTGACACTGTAGCTGGTCCCTCCGGGGGCTGCCACAGGACCGGCCAGGGTTGCCCCCAGGACGCAGGCCGCTACCAGCACCATCATCACCTGGTAAACATAAAACAAATAACTTCACTGAAATAATTGTATACACAAGACCATGATGAATGGCTAAAGCATCGTTGTTTTCGAACATAAAAAATTAAAAGAATGTACGACTGACAAGAGAATTAGAGGGTTGTAGCAGTCAGAATTGAGTCTTCATCAACATTACTGGAAAGATTATTGATGCTGAAGTTGAAGCTGGTCAACACAGGATGACAGATGTTGACCAGCTCTGTCAACATCCATAACTCAATCAACATCAGCAGTTCTGTCAGCATCAACAGTTGTCCCAATATAAGCAAATCTGCTATAATTATGTAATAGACGGTATTACATGTCCTCTATAACAGAGGATATAAATATGGACATGATGTACCATCAACTAGTTTTAACAAAGTATCAGCTGGTATCAACAAAGCATCTGTCGGAATCAACACTGTTCCAGTTTGTCTCAATACAGCATCAGCTCAGAAAGGTGGTATGAACACTGCTAAAGCTGGTATCAACAGAGCATCAGCTTAACTTTGTCTAAACACAATATCAGAACCAGGAGGTCCTAAGAACAACATGAACACCAGCTATTGACCAGCTCTGACAACTTCAGCAGGATATATATCAACATCAGCAGGTGTATCAACATCAACAGGTGTATCAACATCAGCAGGTGTATCAATATCAGCAGGTGTATCAACATCAGCAGGTGTATCAACATCAACAGGTGTATCAACATCAGCAGGTGTATCAACATCAACAGGTGTATCAACATCAGCAGGTGTATCAACATCAGCAGGTGTATCAACATCAGCAGGTGTATCAAAATCAACAGGTGTATCAACATCAGCAGGTGTATCAACATCAGCAGGTGTATCAACATCAACAGGTGTATCAACATCAGCAGGTGTATCAACATCAGCAGGTGTATCAACATCAACAGGTGTATCAACATCAACAGGTGTATCAACATCAGCAGGTGTATCAACATCAGCAGGTGTATCAACATCAACAGGTGTATCAACATCAACAGGTGTATCAACATCAGCAGGTGTATCAACATCAACAGGTGTATCAACATCAACAGGTGTATCAACATCAGCAGGTGTATCAACATCAACAGGTGTATCAACATCAACAGGTGTATCAACATCAGCAGGTGTATCAACATCAGCAGGTGTATCAACATCAACAGGTGTATCAACATCAGCAGGTGTATCAACATCAGCAGGTGTATCAACATCAACAGGTGTATCAACATCAGCAGGTGTATCAACATCAGCAGGTGTATCAACATCAACAGGTGTATCAACATCAGCAGGTGTATCAACATCAGCAGGTGTATCAACATCAACAGGTGTATCAACATCAGCAGGTGTATCAATATCAGCAGGTGTATCAACATCAGCAGGTCTGTCACTCACAGCTCTGGAGACCATCTTGACTAGATGAAGGCGTTAACTTGTCAAGGAGTCACAGTGGATACTGACCATCACTCGTGTCCCCACCACTATATATATATATCACCAACCATACTTCCCTGACGCCTGGGTTTCTTACCATTAATCTCTGAACACTTAACAGTACGCAACGTCAGGCTATTTTAGTCTGCTAATTGATCACTTGCTCAAGACATTAGTTGCTGAGTTAGCTGATTCTTTCATAAGTCAGAGGAAGTGCAGCCGCTTATTTTACACATCTATACGACATTCTCGCCACGCACATTCGGGTAAGATGATATTACGCACTTGAGTAATTTGTGTAATTATCTCAGTAATTAATGATTGAGACAGGCTTCAGGTGAGGTAACGGTCGTATATATATATATATAGTGATGGAGAGACAGGTTGTGGACAGCGTCGACTGTGATTCCCTGACAAGAGAACACCATCAGCTGGGCAAGATGATCTCCAGAACAGTGAGTGACAGATCTGCTGATGTTGACACAGCTGCTTATGTTGAAAGAACTGTCGACAAGTTACAGCCCCGCTCCTGTGCCAGGTAAATCCACTACGGGCTCACCATAGCCCGTGCTACTTTTTATTTATTTATTTATTTATTTATTTATTTATATACAAGAAGGTACATTGGGTTTGTGAGAATACATTGAATAGTACAGTATTTACAATCTTGTAAAGCCACTTGTACGCGCAGCGTTTCGGGCAGGTTTCGGGACTTGGAACTTTTTATTCCCATTAGCTGAATCTTAAACAACAACAGAACTGTCGATCCTGAGAGAATTGCTGTTGTGGATGTTGACAGAGCTGGGTCAACTTTTGTCGTGCTGTGTTGAGGCAAGCTAAAAATATTGACTTCTGCATCAATAATCTTCATAGTTATGGTGATGAAACCTCAATTCTGACTGCTAAAACCCTCTAATTCTCAGCCATTCATCATGATCTTCTGTATACAATTATTTCAGTGACGTTATAACTGGTTTTATGTTTACCAGGTGATGATGGTGCTGGTGGCGGCCAGCGTCCTAGGGGCAACCCTGGCCGGTCCTGTGGCAGCACCAGGAGGGACCAGCTATATTGTCAGTAGCTCTGGATATGGTGGCTACGGCGGATATGGTGGCGGCTACAACAGTGGATATGGCCGGTTTGGCGGATATTATGGTGGTTTAGGCGGATATCGACGGGGATATGGCAGCGGTTTTGGTGGATATGGAGGTCCATATGGACGACTAGGTGGATATGGCGGACATGGTGGCTACGGCGGATATGGATATGCAGGAGGATACAGTGGTGGATACGGATATGGACGTGGATATGGCCATTGAGGCTCAGTCGGGTCGAGTAATTTGCTGATGTTTGGAAATCTCAGATTTTGCTTACATTTATTTTAAAATGTTTGAACAAATATTTAGCAATTTATGCCAGTTATTAAATCCAGAGTCTGGGTCAGTGTGTACTATTATGTGTATTTTTTGTATGCGTGTGTATGTGTGAGTGTGATTTTGGTGAGCTTTTGTGATTATGGTGTTTTTGTTGTGTACGTGAGTATATAGTGTACGTGTGTGCTTGTACTGTGTTTGTGTATGTTTGTTATTTGTGTATGTGCTTGATGCATGCGTATGTTGTGTCTTTGTGTAAGTAATGTTCTTGTTTGTTGAAAGTGTGAGTGAATGTATTGTGCGTGTGGGTATGTAACGTGTTTCTGCGTGTATGTTATATTCGTATGTGTGTGTGTTTGCTGAGTGCGTATGTTTGTAGTGTATGTTTATACTGTAGTGAATTTGTTGTATATGTGTGTGTGTGTGTGTGTGCTTGAACGACTATGTTTGAGGGGAATCTAGTTCAAACATTTCGTCGACACAATTTAGAAAACAAGATTATAATCACGTCACTGTTTTCATATAATGTATTTCGGCTGATGTATGCTAAGCGGTTGTGTAGACTTCGCTGGCTGCTCTGTTATATAAAACACGGCAATTATTCGATTAATACTTTCAAATAAATAATTTGGCAGGATTATCATGTTTTACATTACCCTGGAAATGGTGTTTATATAAGAGTAAAATTGTGGATTTTTAACAGTAGTTTGGATATTATAACTTATTTTTAATATATATATACCAAAACTAAAATGATGAACAGACACATTAATATATAAATATTTTTGTGTCCACTTGACCATCACGACCGGACATAATGTTTGAGTTTTGTTTGCATATTGAGTTTTCAGTTGCATATTGTCCTGGGGACCATTCAGGCTTGTTCACATTTGTGTTCCTCACGTGTGCCCCAAAGAATGAGGTGATTTGGTAAAATGCTATGCCCAAGATAACTATCCGAGTGCCGGCGGTGGGGTGGTTCAAATAGCCTCGGCTATCACCTCATTATGTCCGGTCGTGATGGTCAAGTGGATTAAGGCGTCTTGTACATACCAGTTGCGTTGCTTCTGGGAGTATGGGTTCGAGTCACTTCTGGGGTGTGAGTTTTCAGTTGCATATTGTCCTGGGGACCATTCAGGCTTGTTCGCATTTGTGTTCCTCACGTGTGCCCCAAAGAATGAGGTGATTTGGTAAAATGCTATGCCCAAGATAACTATCCGAGTGCCGGCGGTGGGGTGGTTCAAATAGCCTCGGCTATCACCTCATTATGTCCGGTCGTGATGGTCAAGTGGATTAAGGCGTCTTGTACATACCAGTTGCGTTGCTTCTGGGAGTATGGGTTCGAGTCACTTCTGGGGTGTGAGTTTTCAGTTGCATATTGTCCTGGGGACCATTCAGGCTTGTTCGCATTTGTGTTCCTCACGTGTGCCCCAAAGAATGAGGTGATTTGGTAAAATGCTATGCCCAAGATAACTATCCGAGTGCCGGCGGTGGGGTGGTTCAAATAGCCTCGGCTATCACCTCATTATGTCCGGTCGTGATGGTCAAGTGGATTAAGGCGTCTTGTACATACCAGTTGCGTTGCTTCTGGGAGTATGGGTTCGAGTCACTTCTGGGGTGTGAGTTTTCAGTTGCATATTGTCCTGGGGACCATTCAGGCTTGTTCGCATATATATATATATATATATATATATATATATATATATATATATATATATATATATATATATATATATATATATATATATATATACATATATATACTCATCCATGTACACAAATACATATACATGTCAGTAATCTTTTTATATCAAAAGTGATTCAACAAGAGACTCCCAACAGTGTTGTTAATCAAATCAAAACCATAAAAATCCGAACATAATGTTAGCTGGCTCCTTATAAACACTTGAGCAATATACATTCCAAAAATGATTCATAATTTACTGGAGGTGTCAGTGGATATTAATCAAACGGACGTGATCATATTTAATGTAATTAACTTGTTTTTAACGAGATTTTATTCCCAAAGTATTAAAGATGTTTCGCATATGAATATTAAACAATGAAACTGCGTTTTTATGAATATATCTTACATAGATATTTAAATAAAAAATGGTTTGTTCTTTGAGGTAATCTTGTAAATTTTTTCTCTACTTTTGTAAATAGGTCTTAAGAGATACTCGTAATTTTCTCACAAATGACGTACAAAGCTTCAAGAAATAACAAATATTTTGAAAGCCTTTAAGTGACTTCAGAGGCAGAATAACTGTTAACAGAAGCCAGTCTAAAGAACAGTTGGGTTGATGAGTGTATGGAAACAAGGAGCGTGTAACATTTACTGAAGTGCGCGGCAAGACCACAGTAACTATCGTAGCTTCTTTCTTTTAATAAACTTGCATTTCTCTCAGCTGGGATTGCAAGTGTTACATATTGAGAAATACACGTATCCACTCACAAAGCAGATAATATATTATTTAATTAACAAACAGTGAACGTTAAATAACCTTTCACAAACAGCTGTATCACAAGTGCCAGTGCTGTGTCACATATATTTGTCAGTTTCCATGACTGGCAAAAGATGTATTGATAGACTCAGCTGTTCAATGTAAGACTGTGATAAATAATAATGAAGTACCATTAATTCACCTGGCGCTTAATTTAATTACCTGTGCACCAAAATATGTCAAAAGACTGGGGCATAGGCTCGCTTTGTTTTAAGCTAGGAGACATGAAGACAGTGAGGTAACCCTTACCGCCCCACACCCCCCCAAAAAACAATTATGCTCTAAAAAAAGTTCCCCTTACTCCCAGCCACACCAAGTTGAATTAAGAATCAGCTGCCGTTGAGATTAATCCACTACAGTGGGCATTAATCCACTGCAGTGAGATACACAATCCCACAAGTGTTCTCTACACTGCTTGAGGTGGGTCTCCGGACCATGTTCTCGCACTTCTTCCACACGAGAGAATAATGTGGAAGGTACAGCATACAGACGCATGCTGTAAGATACGGAACTCTTCAACTGGACCCCGTTATGGTTACTACTCGACAAGGAATTCGGGATCAGCGTAACTGGCGTATTGCTAGGGATAGGAACAGTCTTATATCATGTGTGCTTAAGGGGCTTTCTTCTGGGACCTTTAAATATGCATTATTTTGAATCACAGTGAAATGTAACATGTGTAAATCTTTACCTAAAAAAATCTGTACGTCTGTTTGCCCAAAGTATCAGGCCAGACGCTACAGGGTAGCTTCTCCCAACTTTCTTAGAAAACACATTGAGGTATGTGAGTGACATTGGCCAGTCGGAATTGGTCCCAGTGACACTCTTTTAATAAATATAGGCATCTATTGTGACCCTCTACGATTTTTCGCGGTCTGAAATCGGGGATATGTTTTCCATAGACGTTTAGCAGTGTTTTTTTTTTTTAGTGTTTCGTAATATTACATTTTTTGAGAGATGAAAGGATAGAGGGGAGAGGGAAGGAGAAAAGTGTAGAGAGTTGTTGAGGGGAGATAGAGGTAGAGAGAGATGGGTGGGGGAAAAATTGGGAGCGCGTGGAAGAGATAATGGTTAGTGGAGTGGAGAGACCCGGGCAAAGCTGGTTTCCTCATCTGGTTCGTTAATAAGAAGACATCATCACATAGATTTAAAATTATTCTAGTTTGGGAATATATGTCATTCACCGCTGTGGAACATCTGCCTGCTACCTGCAGGTCAGGGGTCCGCCTCGCCCAGGGTCAAGGTGAACCAAATAGTTTTCTAACATTACAGCGCGCAGCAAAAAAATATCCATATACATGAATTATTCGCTTAGCAGACAATAGTCTGATGTTGCACACTTGACTGGTATAATTAGTACAGGTGTAATTATTGATCGCATCAGGCGTTAGGTGGGGTTATAATAATAATAATAATGCATCAATATTTATCATATTCTTACCTTAAATCACTAACACAATTTCTATCACAATTCTCATTGAGCAGCACCGGGAAGACATCAGTAATATATAATACAAGAGTTACGTGTATGACATTAGATTAATCTAAACTGCCATTTTCTTGTTACACTATGTATTATCAACTTTGTGAGTGGATGTGTGTAATTACGGATATGTAATTCACACTTCCAAAACCACTTTTTCCGCAAGCCTCATAGAAGGGAGAACCTGCGAGAGCTCAAGTGGTCTGGCATCCATTAACAGCAGATTTAAAGTTTCTTTGTTTGCTAGACCTGGAATGATGCACGTACTAATGTGAGTGGTTGTGAGTCAGTCACCAACACTACGTTCAGCAACCCAATGTTCCCTTAGACTGGCTCTTGTTAACAGTCACATGTTAGAGTCACCCTGCCACTCGAAACTGCTTACTAAATTTTTGCGCGCTCTCTCTCTCTCTAGATGTTTTGCAATGATTAGGTTTACTCAAAATACAAATCAAATAATCTTAATAAAAAAAATCATGTACAAAAGATTTTGCTTAGAAGCATAGTTTAATTTTTATTTATTTTAAAATTACAATTGTCTCAAATAATTTCACAATAAAATCGCATTAAAACAGGAGTTAATTTCGTTAAATATAAGAAAGTTTCTTTGATTACAATATTCACTGACAACAATGCAAGAACTAGAAATTCATTCTAGGAACATATATTACTGAAATGTTATTGCTAAGGCGGCCTAGCGTTTGTAAAAGAAGGAATTATTGTAACTTTGTTAACAATTTATTTATTTACTTTTTTATATATACTTTCATTTTTTTTATATTAATTTTCCTATTTCCTATTTTTTTTTATTGAAAACAACCCCCATTGAATAATAATTAGACCAGAAAGGTTAATCCTCATCTCAAGTCCTCCTTACTTATCTATGAGGTCGTCTCGGTGGATAAAACTCTCCTACTAATGTAAAGTTTTCAATATATATTTTTGCATCAGTGAAACATTTTTGAATTATCATTCGGTATACATAAATAGTTTATAAAAGAACTATATGTTCAAGTTATACCATTTACTGGATGAAGCAAAACATGATAACTCTGTTAAATTATATATTTGGAAGTATTATTCGAACACAATTTATTTTTTATATAATACAGCAGCCAGCGGTCGCAGTGAACACAGCCGGTCGTGTAGATCTGTGGAAATGCATTATATGAACACAATAACACGATTATATATTTTGTCTACGATTAGTGTTAAAAAAAATGTTTGAACAAGATTTCTCAAAAACATGGACGTTTAAACAAACACGCACATAACAAACACTTATAAGCACGTTATAAAAACACAAACCAAACACACACAATGTTCACAGCAAACACCCTTTCATACAGATTATAGTACACGCTGGCCCCAGACTCTGGGATTAATAATTGGCACAAATGGCTAAATATTTATTCAAACATTTTATAGGTAACTGTAAAAAAATATTTCAAGATTTCTAAACATCAACAACTTACTCGACCCGGCTGAGCCTCAGTGGCCGTATCCACGTCCATATCCGTATCCACCATCGTATCCTCTTGCATACCCATATCCGCCGAAGCCACCATGTCCACCTAATCGTCCATATGGACCTCCATATCCACCAAAAGGGCTGCCATATCCTCCTCGATATCCACCAAAACCACCAAATCGGCCATATCCTCCATAACCGTTGTTATATCCGCTGCTATAACCACCATATCCACCGTAGCCACCATATCCACCGTAGCCACCATATCCAGAGCTACTGACACTGTAGCTGGTCCCTCCGGGGGCTGCCACAGGACCGGCTAGGGTTGCCCCTAAGACGCCAACCGCCACCAGCACCATCATCACCTGGTAAACATAACATCAGTTATTAGAAACATACAAATTAAAGAAATTAATTCAGATTTAGAAGAACTAAGAAATGCCCAGAGACCTGGAAGCTGCAGTATTAAAAGTTATGACAAGTTTTGTAATAATAGGTATTTGTATGGTTTGTATGGTCAGCACAGTAACCGAACCAGGCAATGTGATGTAGTCATTGCGCGAATTCGCCTTGGCTATAGACACATCTGGCAGGTTAGTGAGGCTGAGCCACTACCAGAATACTTATCACCAGTAAACTGTGATAAACCTTTAATGCATTCACTAGAACACTATATTGATGAATGTGAAACCGTAAAGGACTTTAGACCTCCTGGCCTCTTGTACCACCAACTGTGTAACTATTTTATTGACTCAGGTGTTCTGGACGACATCCTAACAATTTATCCAAAATTTGCTTGTCCATTTTAAAGAATGAAGAACAATTTTTATTTATATTACTTCTAAGCTGCATCACTTATGAACCCATCCCTGCCCTTGTGTGGCAGTGCACAGTAGAAAGTTGTTTTCACATATCCATACATTAAAACATTGATTGCAACCATGATATATATGTGCTTCAGCCTACAGTTTAGACCTATTGTCTTATGTATGACCCTCTGTCCTGCGTGACAGTGAATACCAGCATTATCCTCACTTTAATAAGACGATCAAAATCCTCAGATTAGGCAAAATTGTAATTAATTTTGTCAATAAAAATGTTAATAATAATAATAATAATAATAATATAACTTCACTGAGAAGAGTATGTTAAAAATAATATAATGAATGGGTAAACCGTTATTGTTATTCGGATTAAAAAGAATTACGGTAGACAAATGCGTGTATGAGTTCGGAAGAGGCTTCGTTATTACAGAAATGATTAATAATGCTGAATTTATAAAGAACATTTTCACCTAGTCTCAACACAGTTCCAGCTGGTCTCAACAGAGCATCAGCAAATATCATCACAACTCCAACTGGTTTCAACACTGAACAATCTGGTCTTAGCACAGCACGAACTCCAGCTGTTGACCAGGTCTGAGAACACGTGTCACTCACAGTTCTGGAGACCATGTTGCCCAGCTGAAGATGTCTTCTTGTCAGGGAGTCACAGTCGACACTGACCACCACTGCATCACCACTACTATATATATTGCTAATTACACCCTCCCGACGCTTGTCTCAATCAATAATTACCTGAATTAATTACTGAAGTGTACAATATCAGCTTATTTCTGCGTGTGTATAAATAGATCTGTACAATATGACATGTGAATTTCCATTGACTTTAGAAAGTACAAGCTAAGATAATTAGTTGTCTTAGGCAAGTGATCGATTAGCAGACTAAAATAGCCTGATGCTGCGCAACACTGATAAGTGTTCAGTAGTTAGAAGTAGAGTCCCTGGCGTCAGGGGAGTATTATTGGTGACATATATAGTGGTGGTGACATGGGTGATGGTCAGTGTCCACTGAGACTACTTGTCAAGCTGACGCCTTCACCTGCTCAAGATGGTCTCCAGAAATGTGAGTGAAAGACCTGCACATGTTGACAGAGTCGGCTAACTTAATACACAAATATTTGATATTCCTCAAATATATGTGTATATTATACACATATATTGTATACCTCAAAAGGGAGTGTATACCTCCAAGGGGAGCCGGTAACTGAGTGGACAGAACACTGAGCATGTGTTCCTGTGGCCCCGGGATCGATCCCGGGCGCCGGCGAGAAACAATGGGCAGAGTTTCTTTCACCCTGATGCCCTGTTACCTAGCAATAAATAAATACCTGGGAGTTAGTCAGCTGTCATGGGCTGGTTCCTGGGGGTGGAAGCCTGGTCCAGGACCGAGCCGTGGTGACACACCAAGCCCCGAAATTATCTCAAGATAACCTCAGCCACATTTTATTATTTTTATTTATTTTATTATCAATGAATTACATTTGTGTAATGTTGTTAATGCCAAGACAATCCTACATCTCTCTCTCTGTATATATATATATATATATATATATATATATATATATATATATATATATATATATATATATATATATATATATATAAAATATATATATATATATATATATATATATATATATATATATATATATATATATATATATACACATATTACTCTTTCATCGTGCAATTGTTGACACATTATCTGAGTGAACTTATAATTGATGCTATGTTTACAGATGGCAATAGTTCTGGTGGTAGCCGGTGTCCTAGGGGCAGCTATGGCCGGTCCTGTGGCAGCCCCTGGTGGGACCAGCTACAGTGTCAGTAGCTCTGGATATGGTGGTTACGGCGGAAATGGTGGTTATGGTGGTGGACATATCAGCGGTTATGGAGTATATGGCCAACTTGGCGTATATGGCAGCGGTTTTGGTGGATATGGAGGACCATATGGACGATATGGTGGTTTTGGCAGATATGGCAACAGTTTTGGTGGATATGGAGGACCATATGGACGATATGGTGGTTTTGGCGAATATGGCAGCGGTATTGGTGGATATGGAGGTCCATATGGACGATATGATGGATTTGGCAGATATGGCAGCAGTTTTGCTGGAAATGGAGGGCTATATGGACGATACGGTGGTTTGGGTAGATATGGTTATACTGGAGGATACGGACATGGATACGGCCACCAAGGCTAAGGTGGGTAGGTTGAAGTCTGGAGTTTTTTTGTTTGATTTTATTATAGCTGGCTGTAAAATTTCTGAACAAATGCGCGAATCTCGCGGTTATTTTGCGAGATTTAAAATTATTTTTTTGACACTAATTGTACACAAATTTATGATATTTCGAGGCATTGTTTTTATAAAATGATTTTTTTACAGATATATGCTAGCCGATTGCTTCGACCTCTCCTGCAGCTGTGTTATTTAAAAGAAAGTTTTGTATTTGAATTATACTTTCAAATATATTATAAAATAAAATTAAGCTAGTTTTACTTCTCCTAGGAACTGTTTGATTTGAAATATTTCAAATTGAATACTTTAATCTATGTATAATAATATTGTTAAATTTAAGAAATTTACATGCATTATACTGCACACAAAATAGTAATATTGTGCTCTCTTATTATATTCTTAATGCCTCGGAACTTAATTTATCAGTAAAAACGGCACCCACTGTTATCTTTCTAAAGCAAAATGTGATTAAATTCTTAATTATAATTGTCAAAATAATAAGTAGGAATGAAACAATATTTCAATCTATTCCAAATATCATTGCAGCTGTTCGTTTACATAGTTATTACAATTTTAAGGCGAATAATTAAAAAGATATCATACTTGCAAACTTCATTAATAATATAAAAATTTCCGCAGACAACATAATCGGCATCCAGTATAGTTCTGCAATTTATAATAATATTAATAATAAAAATAATTATTATAATAACATTGAAAAAAATAGTTATAACACTACTGTTCAAGTTCGTTTGTTGAGATAATAAAATACATCGCAAAGGGATAAATTAGCTTTGGTTATTTTTATCCTCCTAACATTATTGCTATCTCAAAAGCAACAAATATAAAATTTAGCATTTTATTAACATACAAATATCAGAATACCGGTGACCATAATTGAAATTTCAGTCTCGAGTTCTGAAAGAATGCCCCTAGGCATAAGTAAGCTTCAACGCCTGAAAAAGCGCCTTGAAGGGACAGAACGCACTTTAAAATATAGAAGGTGAATAATGAAATGCTTCTCACTAGATTCAACATGTACTCAGCGTCTATGGCAATAGCCATAACCGCTTCCGTAGCCACGGTAGACGTTGCTCTAGCCTCCATATCCACGTCCAAATCCTCCGCCAAAGCTCCCATGTATATTGTATCCAAGACCTAAGCCTCGAACATAGTCACCATCTGCTGTAACAACCGTCATATCCGCTATAACCTCCGCAATGTCTTCTATAAACTCCGCTGTGTCCACCATAACCTCCTCTATATCCACCATAACTACCGTATCCATATCGTAGACTACCGTAGCCAACTCCTGACGGCACTGCCTCAGGAAGAGCCATGACTACCGCAAGGAAGCCAGCCACCATCGTTACCTGAATCACACGCCACATTTACCATCCAAATGCCAGTAGTGTCATTTAAAATAATTATAATTGCAATTTAAAAATATATATATAATATCATTATTGTTTTCAAATAATGTATTTCGGCAGATCTACGCTAAGCCGTAGTGTCGACCTTGCTGGCTACTCTGTTATATAAAACAAAGCAATTATTCGATTAATACTTTCAAATAAATAATTTGGCAGGATTATCATGTTCTTCTTCTTCACCCCTGGAAATGTTGTTTGTATAAAAGTAAAATTTTTGTATTTTTAACAGTAGTTTGAATATTATAACCTATTTTTAAAATATACCAAAACTAAAATGACGAACAAACACCTGAATATTTAGCACCGTGAAGACATCTTTAATATATGATACAAGAGTTACGTGCATGACATTAGTTTAATCTAAACTACCACTTTCCTGTTACACTATGTATTGTTAAATTTGTGAGTGGATGTGTGTAATTATGGATTTGTAATTCACATTTCCAAAACAGCTTTTTGCGTAAACCTCATAGATGGGAGAACATGCAAGAGCTCAAGTGGTCTGGCATCCATTCACCGCAGATTTACAAATTCCTTGTTTGCTAGACCTGAAACGATGCACGTACTGAGGTGAGTGATTGTGAGTCAGTCAACAATACTCTACGTTCAGCAACCTAATGTTCCCTTGAACTGGCTCTTGTTAACAGTGACATGTTAGAGTCACCCTGC